CCAGTTGGCACAACCAGCTTGGGATTGTCATCTGCAGTGAACTGCGCTTCTGTTTCTACTCCTGCAACTGGTTCCTCCTGTGCAGGCGAAGCATCGCCGTCTTCTTTGGACAAAGGTTCTGAACAAATAGCCTTTTCTACATGCTTGCGTGTTTCTGAAGCTGACAACTGACCCACTGCCTTGCGAAATTCAGCTGCAGTCTGATATAGTACAGACCGCCGAGGCTTGTCTTTGATAAACTCAGCCAGTTCCTCCTCTGTTTGGATTGCAGCAGCGAATTTTTCCATTTCTTCCAACTTGGCAGCAGCCACTTGCCAGCAAGTGCTTTTGTCTAAAGGCACGGTGTCTGGACAGTGATAAGAAACTGGAACATCTTCGGAGCTTTCCAGCAACTCTTGCGCCCCCAGTGTAGAATCCATAGGGCCACGATATTTGTTGGAATCCGCTCTGCCTGCCAACTCTTCAACCTCTTCTTCATCCAACTCTTCCACAGGCGCGTCAACAAAAGTCTTTTGCAACACTTCGGGCGTCTCACCATCAAACCACTCTTCTACATCAGCTTTTCTGCAAATTGCCGCTTGGTGCGCTTTGCTGTTACGTTGCACAAAGTCAAATTGTTTCAGCAACAATGTCTTGGAGATCGGAAAGGTTTGCTTTTTGCGCATATCTTGCGGGTCAATTCCAACAAACACTGCTTCGAAACTTTCGGCCAAATCTCTAGGCGGAAATTCCTTGATGGCCGGCAAGGTGGGCGCTTGTTCTACGATGGTGGTAACGCCATCGAGTCCAAATGCAGAGTGCGACCGTTCCCAAGGATTCTTGCTGTTGGCCGTAAAAAATACCTTGGTGAGAATTACCCTGCGCAAAGGCAACAACATTCTGTGCCCATATGGCATCCTGCGCATCAACTCTGGGTGTCGCCCGAGCCACTTTCCGTTAGCCAAAGCTCGCACAGGCATTTCAGGTGGGTTTTTGATCAAACACCGCCTACATTCTTTGCACAAAGGAGCTTGTTCCTCGCCTGTGCACATGCGTTTCGTCACACGACGTTTGTGTAAAAGCATTTGGACTTTATCACCTGTTTGCAACAGAACAGTTGGACAAGACTTGAAGACTTCTTCCGATGGCACCTCTGGCCAAGTTGACACATACAGCTTTGGGTCTAATAGCAAACAAACTTTATCTTCTTTCTGAAACTCAGTCTTCGCACCAGCAATGAAAGTCGGAATGAGTTCCTCTGACCAACGTCTTTCAGCACACACTACACATGCGACAAATCGCCGGGGTCCCCATCTCTCATCTCGCTGCAAACCCTTCCCCAGACTCAGCTTGTCATGCATGTGCGTAGTGAAGTTGTTCCAATCTGTCGCTCCTCTAACTTGGAATTCAGAAAAGTTCTGCAACGCGGCCCGCTGCAAACTGCCAGGAAACTGCCACACTTCTCGCGAAAGCAAGTGCAAGACACGCAAACGATATGTGTGATAACCTTCATGCACAGCATCATAATTATGTTCAAAGAACTCACCTAAGTTTGTAAACCATTTCTCTTCACACCCTTGCAACAAACATGAAATGGGCGGCATGTTCTCCGGAGCATCTGCGAAAGTCCGCAAATGGTTATCAAGTCCAGATCGCACAGGAAGATTATACCTTTTTGCAAATAAGGCCAAGGGCGTCTGATCTAGCATGAACGGATCCACGTGATCTTTCGCCGTTCTTTCACGAGCAAGCTTTAAGCCACGTCTGGAGCGGTCTTGCTCCATGGTGGAGCGGTCTTGCTCCCTGGTGGAGCGGTCTTGCTCCCTGGTGGAGCGGTCTTGCTCCCTGGTGGAGCGGTCTTGCTCCCTGGTGGCACGGTCTTGCTCCCTGGTGGAACGGTCTTGCTCCCTGGTAGAACGCTCTTGCTCCCTGGTGGAACGCTCTTGCTCCCTGGTGGAACGCTCTTGCTCCCTGGTGGAACGGTCTTGCTCCCTGTCTTGCTCCCTGGTGGAACGGTCTTGCTCCCTGGTGGAACGGTCTTGCTCCCTGTCTTCGTCCGTGTTGGAGCAGTCTTGCTCCCTGTTGGACAAGTCCTGCTTCCTTCCAGTGCGATCTTGCTTTCCCTGTGCGTTCACTGCTTCTTTTTGCTGCTCAATAGATCCAACTGGTTTGAAATATTTAAGTAAACAGTTTCCCTGCGAAGCGTCAGCAGCTTTTCTTTTCGACCTCGAAGCTTCTGGACCATCCTGTGAACTTGCAGCGTGTGTAGGGACAGCTCCAGTGAAAACCGGTTGAGTCCCATCAACACTTGCTGCTGCTTCAGTAGCGTGGGCAGCACCAGGAAGAGCAGGCGCTGCTTTACAAAGACATTCAAACCAGGAGTGTTGTTGGCATACCATGCCTTCAAACAACATGGTTTTCCCAGAGCACTGGTCATCACACCTTTCAAATAAAACGCCACATGGAACCACAGGACATTCTTTCATCTGCACATTCCGCACAAACTCATCATTGGCCAAATGCCATTGGCCATTCTGGCACAGTGCTGTTACATAGTGGCCGCTTGTCATGCTCACAGAACTGTCTTCATCATGCAGATGCAATATCGCTGCTTTCACTCTGTAACCTGACTTCCATACCACAGAAAGCACAGCTGACACTAAGCGCAACCAAAAACACACGAAATACAAAACAATCTATGATTTTTCCAAGGGACGCGGCTGCATCTCAGCCATTTCTGTGAAGAGCATGCGCAAGTCCACCTCCGCGCTCCAGTCAACAATCTTGGTTGCAATCCAAGACAATTCAGCCGTCACTTCGTCTACCACAAATGGAATGGTTTGCAGAAGAATTTCCTTACTGACAGTTTCCAAAGTGCCATGGCGCTGTTTCAGATGTAAATCTACAAACTCTTGCAGACAACACTCTTCTCCCAGTGTGTAGGCCGACTGATGCAACGGAGTGGCGTTGAAGCAAACACTAACTTGCTCCGTAGACTCCGGAGCGTTTGATAGCTGATGGACAACTTGAAGAAATTCCATGGCATCACACTGCCTATCGATGAATCCGTAGTTCTGCCAATGGTCTAAACAAAAATGCAAAAGTTCGATGGGCGCAACCACTTCATAATTCCCCATCCATTTAAAGAGTTGTCGCAATTCTTTACAGGGAAAAGGTCTCTGCAACGATGCTCTTTCCAAAGTTTCGCTGTAGTGTAGCCACTCAGAAACAAATTCAGAGTGCCAAAGCAACTGAACAGCACTGTTCAACCAACATGTCAGCGACTGAAAGTTCACTAACCCCGTGTAAGTGTTCAGTCCTTGCTTCGCCTGCATTACATTCACAATGCTGAAGTCTCGCAGCAACTCACTGGTCGGCTCTTGTCTTTCTTGTGCACGCCGCAATGCCACACCGCGGCACGCCGCTTCCAGAGGCAAACTGTTGCGCCCTAGTTCCCTGGACTGCCAAACCAGTCGGTTCTCACGCACCTCTTCGAAAAACCTACAAAGACAATCTCCTACTTCCAAAGGACCATAGCAGAATCCGAACTCTTCACGATACTTCTGTACACATGGCTGCAAGCCACTCATCACAGTAGGTGGGCTACGATACATCTTCTTAGTACCATCTCTGAACACACGTTCCAGTCTCTGTTGAACAACACGATTTTGCGCCTGAACTGTCGCACGGCCAAGGGATGCATCAGATGTTCGCTCAATTCCAATCGCAATGCGATCTCATGTCATGAAGGTTTTCATTCTATCCCACAAGATGTTGTATTTATCAATAAAGTTCTCTTGCCGGCTGATTGCCGCAACGATTTGTTCTTTCAGCGCTTCACATTCTTCAGCAGACAGGGGTTTGGTTTCCAGTGTGTGACACGAAGCGCCGGGATCCATTCCATGGCCCTTGAACAACTCAGCATGCGTGCGCAACATTTCTGTGTTGCGACAACGCCATCGGAGACACTTGGCTTCTTTCTGCCTGGAGGCACTGTTTCGAATTTCTAGCATGGGAAACACAAGTCTTGGGGCAAAGGGAACCAACATTGCAAAGACAGCAGCGATTGTCGCATTATGGCTCGGACAAACCAGCCAACAGGTAGCGAACGATAGCATCTTGCACCACGAACAATGCAAATTCCCTAAGGTGCACAAAAGACACACCACGCTGAGACGACCGTACTCCGTATTACCGCCACACAACAACCAGAACAACGCAAACAGCAGCAGTCTGACTAAACGATGTTCTTGCCAAACATGTTGCCATACAAGCAGTCCAGAGCACATGCGCAGCGCACCTGCAAGAACCACACTGCAAACATAATGCCACCCTTCCTGGATACGGATCTTCCAGCTGACTGGCCGGAAGATGCAACAGAACATCATGCGCATCATTTTTTTGTTTTTTCTGCCTTTGATGCAACTGATATTCCAAGGCTTCGGCTTTCTGAACCCCGAACTAGCACAAGTCGGCTCAACTGCGGCTGCTCTGTCACACATCTGATGCGTCAGCATCCTCTTGCTTGCGGCATAGAACACACTTACTCCGAGCATCCACACAAAATAAAAATGCCACAAAGACAAGGCCATTCCATACATACAAGGAAAAAGTAACACAACACTGATACAGAACCCGCTTCTCTGCAATGATTGTCTTCGAAGCGATTTCATTCGAAGAGACCACAAACCCATACAGCACATGTAGAGTAGAAAGGCGAAAAGCCCGGTAGGCTTTGCAACATCTTGGTTCCTTGCGTTTCCCTGTAGTCCACAAGCCAAAAGCAGCAAGGCCGCATGTATCCCAGCAACCATCGCCACACTGCCTACGCCGGCGTAAGTCGAGAGCCGCACCTGGCATCACAGCCGGATCGGACCGCAATCTTGACCAAAATTAACAGACCAAACAAAACAGACAATTTCTTTGAGTCATTCTAGACCAAATGACATACACTCTCCATGCGAATCCCTGCAGCTGAGCCCGCGCCTGTCGCAACCCACGCGCCTGACAGTCCATCCCAACTACTCTAAAACCTAGACATGTCCATGCCCTCTCACAAAACTCAACCAAGCTATCACAATCATTTCATCTGCAGAGACGCGTTCATGATGACTTTGTGTCGATCATGGCCGCTCTACTATCAGTTGCCGCTCTATTTCTTATACAGCCACAGACCCATCAGACCGCCCTGCCACAAAAGCAGTTAAGTCTTAAGATGCGATCCGCCCCTAGAAGCTCGCTCCGCCCAAAAGCGGTTGAAGCCCACGCTGCCTGCTTCACACTACCAACAGTTCCCAGAACCGCTCAGAATTCTTCTCCTTCATGAGTCTTCTGCATCTTCAAACGCTTGGCAGATCGTTGCTGTGCGAACAATTCTTCAATCTCCTGAGTCCTTGCTTTGGTCTCTGCCATTCCTGTTGCTGCATTCACTTTGGCGATGACCTGCTGGCATTCGAACTTGAACAACTTCTTCAGCATCTCCAGTTTTGTGTCATTTGTCTCCTCCTTGAACTGCGCCACTAAGAATCCTCCATCTGGCCAACGCCTTTGGCAAAGAACATTCACCCACTTCTTCTGTTGCACCATCATGAACTCCTGCACAGACGTCGGCACTCCAGCTGCCACAAGCTTGATGTGAGCGCCGCAGATGCTGCAAGCGCAAGGCATTTCAATCTCAATGCCATCCATGTCCTGCATCACTTTCACCTGTGGTTTTTGAAGTACTTGACAGAACAAATGCACTGAGTCCACAGTATGCACCTTGTCAGCAACATGAACTTGCAACTGATCATGCTCATTCATTCGGACGCTCTGACAACAAGCAGGCACAATGCCAGGAGTGCCAAAGAAGACATCTGACGCAAGCGCTTTGAAAGCTCCAGCTACACCATCCTCTGTCACCTGTGGACTGATGTCAAAAACATCGTAATATGTGCCTGTGCCTGCCTTGTTCACACCAAATTCAACACGCAGGCACAGCTTCTGCATCATCACGCCAGCCAGCAAATTCTGCGTTTGCTCGGGCTCATCCATGTTGAAATTGGCAGGAGCCATAGACAAAGCCAAGGCTTTCAAGGCATCCTCCCACACTGCCACTTCCAAAGTCCGCGTGGGGTCGGCAAACAGCAGTTGAGCGCCATAGACTTTTTTGCCTGCATTTGGTCCATGGACTTCACACGTCAAGACACTGTTATTCTCTTGCAACTGCCTTTTGCAAGTAGTACATCCAAGATACCACAGGCTGTCCGAATTGTCACTATTCATCCCACGAATGTCCTTCACAAACACTGCCGGGATCATCATGCTTTTCCCTTGGTAGATTCCTGTGGATGGATCCAAATGCATGATGTGATGCAAAGTCGTCAAGCTTCCTCCAGAAAACATTTGCTTCAGCTTTTCCTCACGCGACCGGCCATAGGGCGTCGACAAGCTCTTGATGTCCTCCGCTACAGCAAGCTTGCCTCTGGTCGCTTCCGCGACATCTCCAACTTGCTGCTGCACTAAACTTCCGGAGCCGGAAGTCAATTTGAACTTGCCAGGGCCTTCAGGAATCAGCATCATCCAATCAAGGCGATAGACTCCATTCTTGGAAGCCGTGGCCATGTCCTCAGACAAAGGATGCCAAAAAGCCGCATTCAGGCTGCAATCTCCGCTCGCCACCTTGGCATTGCACACTCTCTTTGTTCCACCTCCCTGAATTTTGGCTTCACTTGTCGCAGCATCTTCAAGTAGCACAACTTCCATTGAGACCATGCAGGAACCATTGCAAAGGGTTGCGTCTTTGACATTTGGTAGCAATGGCAAAGCAGTAGGATAATCTCCTGCCCCCAGAGCAACCTTAGTCAACTTGTCAAATGCAACTTTCAAATCACGATCAAAGTACACCAGCGAACGGCCTTTGCTCTGTAGCTTGAAATTGGTCACACTCACAACCTTTCCGGCATGAGGCAGAAGACTCTGATTCATGTGTGCTTGATCTGCGGCAGACCAAGCTTCCAACACTAGCACCGATCGAAGCGATTCACCATCCACAATGACTGCCACAGTCTTGCTGGAGCCCTTTTTAAACGTTTCATTGAAATGATGCACCAGACGGCCACAAACTTGCTCGGACACTCGACCTGCCACCACACTCAGGTCTTTGATCGGACGCACATACACTGCCTTCTGCTGCCTCGCCATGGCAGTCCGTTACCAGACCTCACCGTCAAAACTACTCTAGTCCCAAGGTGTGAAATGCACACTCTCCTTCTTGCATAGAGTCATAGATTACGTTTATGTTGCAAAGTGTCTGTATGTGTGTGAACTGCCCGATCTTCTTCGCATTTTCCCAATCGCTTGGGCAAATATCCGCGTTGCATTTTGGCCCGCGCATAACTGAAAGCGAGTCACATGAAGTCATCACAACAGACTCACTCCCCAAACCTGTAATGTCCACACTACAAAGTTCTGCAACATGCTACCATTCTTCTCACTGCTAGACAAGCCGTCCACGCCTCTTCCCGCAAAGAATCCTGCAAGTCACTCGTGTCACACACAAGCAACAGTTTGAACTCCAAATCTTCACATAGATGTTCCTATCTTGGCGCAAAACACTGTAAGAACCGCCTTCGCAACAAGCATGCTCATTTGCTACCAACCCTCAACAAGGCATCAACAAATGTTCGGCCCCTAAATCACCAGACCTCCCCGGTCACAACCAGTTGAGTCCCAAGGTGATCCAACATGAAGACAACCAGTTCAGTCTCAAAAATTTCAAAAATGCAAACAAGACAATGAGCGATTCTCTACATTTGTCAAGCTACAACGCTTCAGCGATCAACAAACAAAATTGGCTTTTGAAAATGGCACATCCAACAATTGGAACGCTGCATCTTTTCTTCATGCGGTATGCAACGGATCTGAATGACATAGGAGATGTCGGTTAACAGGTTGTATTTCTTGCCAGGCTGTCAACAGTGGCAAGTTTCTACTTGCAGGGCTCGTACGCAGCGTGTACGAGTCTGCAAGTAGAAACTTGCCACTTTTGACAGCCTGGCAACAAATACAACCTGTTAACCGGCAACTCCTATGTCATTACCGATCAATATAATGCAAACGCACGCAACTCCAGACAGGAAGTATCATCTGACTGTCACCAGAGCACACTAGTTGATATTGTTCACCTGTGCCCAATTTTCAAACTCTCACCAAATTCCAAACATTTCAGTAAGTCATAACTACTGTTGACAGGTCAGGAGTCTTTGCCCAACTCGTGACACCAAATGGCCATGATCTCTTTGTCATAGCTCCTTTGGCGTTGAAACTTGTTTTTCACACACATCAGCAGTCTGGTTGGATCAGTAGTACACAGTCCATCCGTCAGCATTCAGCATCTGCTGCGATTTCGTTGGACGAGCATTGTTGTTGCGAACATTTTCTTCCCAACGTTGAATCTCTTCCAGCTGTGGCGCAATGAAATCTCCAATCTCGAAGAAGGGCCTTCCCTCAGCACAAGCGCCTTCTATGCTTCATTGCGTCACAGCTGGATCTTCCAGCTGTGGCGCAATGAAATCTCCAATCTCGAAGAAGGGCCTTCCCTCAGCACAAGCGCCTTCTATGCTCGATCTATGCGGCAATCTCTCTGCATAGTTCTCAAAGGCAACGTCTACAGCAAACAAAAGCTGCGCAAATTTCACAGTGTCATCCCAACTCGTGACACCAAATGGCCATGATCTCTTTGCCATGGCTCTTGAAACACAAGACCATTCCCAGTCAAAACCAGTTCAGTCCCAATTTCACAGTGTCATCCCAGCTCGTGACACCAAATGGCCATGATCTCTTTGCCATGGCTCTTGAAACACAAGACCTTCTCCCAGTCAAAACCAGTTCAGCCCCAATTTCACAGTGTCATCCCAGCTCGTGACACCAAATGGCCATGATCTCTTTGCCATGGCTCTTGAAACACAAGACCTTCCCGGTCAAGACCAGTTCAGTCCCAATGTGTTCAAACTTCCCAAGTGCAAAAAGACAATGTCCGTCTTGCAGTGTCAAGCGACATCTAAAGATCTAGATCGTATGTAACTTCTCCACTCTTTCTCACTGAAACATTTGAAGAGATACATCTACTACATTTATACCTGCATCTTCGAAAGTGCACTTATTTATTGCCGTTTGGGACATTTCTGCCCTAAGGGCGGAAACCGTGTTGAGGACCTCAAAATGGCATGAAACATATCAATCTGGTCATTTTTTCTTCGTATCCATTTCGGAGCCGTTTGGCCTTCTTTGAATCCCTTTTGGCCACTGCATGGCCGCAATTTACTCCTGAGGTACGCCCAGTGCCCTGCACAATCTTGCAGAAGCAGCTTTCCATTTCTGGCATGCATTTTTGGGTCAATTGATTGTCATGATCCACTTTCTCAGAAGTTTCCCCACTAGCCTGTGAGCTCAAATTTGAAATCTTAGCTGTGCAATAGCTCATGGCGACATTTCCCAAATGTAGCTCTGCTACTTTGAAGAGCGCTGAGAATGAAGGACTTCAAATGCCACGCTGATTTTTCTTTGAGCGAAAGATTTCCACATTTGTATGAAACCACTTGAAACCAACATCATGAGAGGACTTCTGGAATACCCTCAGAAGTTTTGGGACGAGGTGGTGAGCGTTTTGTTTTCCAAAGGCCAGGGCTCACAGGCGTGGGTCGCATGTGCAAGACAGTGTTTTTGACAGCTTGCCCCAAACTCTATCTGCAAACCCTATAGTCAGCCATGCAGGTTGAGATGACGGATGAGATGATGTCTGACATCATTGCCAACTACAAGAATGGGGGATCTGCCAAGGAGTTGGCCCAATACTATCGAGGATGCATTGCCAGCGCTGGCTGCATCTCGTTTTTCTTTAAACAGTACAGTATGTTACATGTTGGACATTCGGGAAGTATGCGAAAACACCATGAAAGTGCATTGAGTTGTTTAAGGCATGCGGCTGATACGGCGCCCTTGGAAGGGTCGTTAGTTTTGAGATGTGCCATTTACGATCCTTTGGAAAGGTTGCAAATTTCAAAAATGAGGCTGTCCGAAATGGGGGTATGGGATTTGATTTTTTGGTGTGTTGCACATGCTGTCGTATCATCATCGGGGGGGGCGTATTAACGTCCTTGACGAATACTTCCCTTACGTTATGGAACATGTACACGTTGCGCATGCTGTCGTATGATCATCAGGGGGGTGGGGGGGGTATAAACGTCCTTGACGAGTACTTCCCTTACGTTACGGCTCATGCACACGTTGCACATGCTGTCGTATGATCATCAGGGGGGTGGGGGGGGTGTATTAACATCCTTGACGAGCACTTCTCCGACATTATATACGGAACATGTACACGTTGTGCATGCTGTCGTATGATCATCAGGGGGGTGGGGGTGGTTAATGTCCTTGACGAGCACTTCCCTTACGTTACGGCACACGTTGCCTAAAAAAAATCAACATGTGTACAAAAAAAGATACACTTGGGCCTACAGCTGGACATGGCGTCACAGTGCTGCCTTGTTGCAGTCGGTGGCTTCTGCGTTGCCACAAGCGCTCAGGCACTGAAGCGTCGAGAAGAGGAAACAACTGGAAGAGTGAATGTCGCCCTGATATGATTCGGGTGGTTCAAAATCATAGATTTCTATTTAATGTCTTTTTTGACCTTTGAAGAGCAAAATCGAGTCATTGCGCAGGCGCGAAACGCAAATTTTCACTCTTGAGTCACACGCCTGCCAATCGAAATATGAATGTCCATGTTGCAAACTTTGACGACTCCTGCGAATATCAGCATTTTGTTTCTTAGCCTCAAAAATCAGAATTTCAAATTCGTCACCCTTACAAGGGTGCCGAGTTAACCAATGACCTGCGCAATCAGTTTTGCTGCGTGGGGTCTCCAAGGTAACTCCGAGAGCAAGCAGGTTACTTCTGGGAAAGGTGAGTGAAACACTTTGCCACCTGAGCTTAAGTGCCACAAAAAGTCTTGTGGACGCACCGCAGGCAAAAAATGAAAGAATGCGCACTTAGTAGTTGAGTATCTGTTTTGTTCAGGTCTAGTCCCAATGAGCTTTGGTATCTCAAGCGTTCCTTATTATGCTGTGGAGCCACCTCACCAGTGCCCCATAGAAACTTTGCTCTCAGTCGTCCTTCGACCTCGCTGCGCAGGTCAAAAGGCTTTAGCACTGCATGTGATGAGGTGCAAATGCCGGTGTCAACCAGGGGATGGGTGTCAGTATTCTCAAGCTCCTAGAGTGGCATGCTTTGCAGGCCTTAGTTCAACCAAATATTTGCGAGCCATCTGCCAGCCTTTAGGCTCGACAAGGTTGCTTTGGATTCAAACGGTGTTGGACAGCATGTCCCTAGAGGGCTTGGCTAAAGTTTTCTCCAATGACGAGATGCTCCGAGAGAGAGTCTTGACGACTGGCAGCCTCATCTCCTGGCCGTCTCCAAAGTTGGTTGGGGTGTGTAAGAACAAGGACGCACTTCGGCTGAATTCCTATATCCTTCAGCTTGTGGCGGACAATTGGTGCCCACAGTGGACCAGCCCTGCTATGATCCCAATTGACTTGATCAAACTGGAGGCACCAAATTAGACCAAAACCCCAAAAAAATGCGGGCTAGGGACTAGGTAGTATCATACATATTGTATAGCTGGAATATATATGAATATATATATAAGCTTGTCCCATTCTTTCCAGGTCTTATACCACCAGTATCCAGGTCCTTGAGTCCAGAGCTATTGTGCTCAAGTTGTGAGCATCTTTGCCAATGATATTGACATCAAGCCAATGATATTGATATCAAAGAATTATCAGTACACAGTGCGGGGCAAACTTGAAAATAGGAAGACAGAAAAGATTTTCTAATTTTGAGGATTCCAACTTTTTGGTCCAGCCATGTCCAGCTACTCTTCATCTAGCAGATCCCGTTCCCGGGATTCTGATTCTGGAGTTTCTTCGGGACCGGATTCTGGGGGCAGTGGCTCCTATTCTGGCTCTGAAAGCTGTTCTTCTACAGGTTCTTCCAGTTCCAGCTCCTCGCACCTTTTCTTTGCATAGTGGCATAAAGTTGTTTTTTTTTGGAAAGGGAAAGGGGTAGTTTTCAAGCATTCAAATTGTTTGTATTTTTTTGGGCCTTGGCCCAGGGTGACCTATGAGAACTTGAAGTGCATCAAGCTCTCCAAGCGGCAGCTGGCACACTTACATGGGTGGGCAGAGGTCTTTATCCGGGCTGCAGGCTTGTTGTTGTCCCTTTTGTTCCCCACCTGCCAGGTGAGGGTTGTTAGATTTTATCAGCGTTGTTCTTCTCCTTCTTCTCCTCCTCCTTCTCCTCCACCACCTCTGCCTCCACTTGTTCACTTCCGCCTTGCCAACTCTTCGCCGCACACAGTGGGCACTGCTGGACCTCAACTGCAAGGGTCTGAGCGCACTGGGCACCGCTGGACCTCAACCTGGGACTCTCCGAGCTCAGTGAGCACCGCTGGACCTCAGTGGCCAGATAGAATGCCAGAAAGAATGCCAGAAGATATGCCAGATAAAGTGCCAGAATGTTTGCCAGATAGAATGCCAGAAGACATGCCAGATAGAATGCCAGAAGGTATGCCAGATAGAATGTCAGATAGAATGCCAGAAGGTATGACAGATAAAGTGCCAGAATGTTTGCCAGATAGAACGCCAGAAGATTTGCCAGATAGAATGCCAGAAGATATGCCAGAAGATATTCCAGATAGAGTGCCAGAAGATATGCCAGAACATATGCCAGAAGATATGCCAGGTAGAATGCCAGAAGATATGCCAGATAGAATGCCAGAAGATATGCCAGATAAAATGCCAGAAGATATGCCAGAAGGTATGCCAGATAGAATGTCAGATAGAATGCCAGAAGGTATGTCAGATAAAGTGCCAGAATGTTTGCCAGAAGATATGCCAGAAGATTTGCCAGATAGAATGCTAGATAGAATGTCAGAAGATATGCCAGAAGATATGCCAGATAGAGTGCCAGAAGATACGCCAGAACATGTTGCAGAAGATATGCCAGGTAGAATGCCAGAAGATATGCCAGATAGAATGCCAGATAAAATGCCAGAAAATATGTCAGATAGAATGCCAGAAGATTTGCCAATAACAAAACGTATAGATGTCATGGTGGGGATTACTCGAAGCAAAGTATTTTTTAAGTTTGGTTGGAGACACACAAGTGCTTTTCAGGGCTTGTGGGAGAATTTTGCATTGTACATTGGAAACCTGTTCCACATGCAGGTTTGGTGGGATTCTTCAATTCACTGGCTACTCCAGTCAAGCTGGTTAGTGACTGTTTCTCGTTTGCAAGTTTTGACATGTTACCCAAGTTTTGGCTCGCATCATGTTTTGTTGTGAAGAAAATCGAGTTGAACACGTTTCACATGAATGGCCATCCAAAGTGATTAGATTCCAGCATGTGGGTGCAATTTTTTCTGAGGTTCTGGGGCTGAAGGTGGTTGGTTTGGACTCGAGAAGATTTGTGGATCTCGCCATTGCCGCCTGATCTCCAGTTGTGATTGCGGCAAAGGCCCCAGGAAATTTATCAAGAACAACTTGCGCCCCAGGGTGTTTCTTAGATGGTTTAACTGGTATATGATGTGCATTTGAAAGTGTATTTGTGTTTTTCGTGATTGGTTATGTTGATTATCCCATTGTTTTTGCCCCTTCAAGTTTGTTATTGTCCATTCCTTGTTTAAAATCTAAAGCAACAGATTTCAGGTTTTGGAACGATATGTTCGAAAACCGAGACTTTTCCCTAATCGCTGATCTTTCTGCATACTGCGCTGGTTTCCCATGCACTCCGTTCCTTGTCATGGTTTGCCTTTTGATTTGCTTTGCTTTAGGAATGACACATGATTGTTTCAATTTTTGCGGGTCAGCCTCAACATTGCTTCAGGTTCAGCAAATTGAGAAGGCGCTCAAGGTTCTTACAAGAAGATGCTGCCCGGGTTTTCTACAAGGTTTTGTCCACGATGAAACGGACAGGGTTTCCCAAACATCTTTCCATGTGTTTTCAAATCAAGATAGAACTATGTTATTTTTCTTCCTGGTTCTGACTTATGTTTCTGGCATTGCAGGGGTATTTTTTTGGATCTTGGTTTGACTTAGATACCAACAAACATTTTGTAGGACGCTTCCTTTACTAATCATCCTTGAGAATGTGCTGGGCATCTATCAAGTTTGGGAGGAAGTGATGTCCTACATTAAGCGCTTTGCATCGGACTACTGGATTGGTACATTGAACATCAATGTCACAAAGCTGGGTGACATTCAGAGTCGCACCCGTGTCTACTTTTTCTTGTTGAGACGCGATGTTGCAAAGGTAACTTCCCATGGCCGCTTCCAATCCCTTCTGAACCGAACCCTGCAAAACATCTATGCTTAGTATAAGGGAAGAACCTGTTCCCGGAAACTTGTTCAACATGGTTTATGTGTTTTTTCTCCTAGATCTTTTGATCATGCTTTGGGATTTTTGGGTATATGCATCCTAGAACCGGGGACCCCTTATATTCAAACCCTTCCCAGGAATGGTATCTTGTTCGAGGATGACCATCCATTAGTTCTGGCAGATGAGACCCGGAGGAGCAAGGGAAGAATTGGGGAGTTTCGAGATTTGAACCCATCCAATCCTGTACCCAAAAAACCCAAGTGGATTGGCAAGAATATGCGAATGATGAAGGCCTTGAAGGCAGGGTATTAGTCGTTGGTTTCGGTTTTTGTTGGCCAGTTCTGTCCTGTTGAAGTTACAAATCCCAAATTGAAAAAAAGGGGTACTGCTGGAGAGACATGCCGGCCCATAATAGGTGACCACACTACACCCGGCACCCAAAGCACTGCGTGTTCTGAAGCAACAGCGACCAGTTCATGAGACTTTCCAAAAATAGGTTCAATTTTTCACCCAATATTACATGGTTTTTTGGAAGTATGAATTACAAGAAAAGGTCCTTGCAAAAGAACATGTTTTTTTCGTTCCAATGCCCACATCCCAGGCTGTGCAAATCTACAAGGCTTCCGGGTTGAAGGATGTGATCAACGTGTCCCAACAAATCGACCGCATGCGAGTGAAGAAGCCTGGGATTATTCCATGCATAACTCCTAAGGGGTTGTTCTATGATCTTTCTCGTGACCGACTCTTAGTCCCAACTGAGAAGTTCATGGTGATGGGTTTCCCAGTGGACCGCATGGACCTATCCACCCTGTCGGCCAGAGACTCTTTGCCTAAACGTTGAAAACTAATTTGGTCATATTTTGAAACAAACTTAAGGGGAAGTTTAAAACACATCCTTTTATTGTAGCTCCCCCAAAAAAATATTCGTATGGGTAATATAATTGATATCGGCTTGGTGCCTCCACCAGCTTAGGAAATTGAGGACCTGGCAGGAAACGCCCCTTGCCAAGCAAAGGGAACCACCTTCTGTTTTGGGGTTTTGGGGTCCACCCTGGTCACTGCCCCCGGGTCATTTCATGGCTGGGATTTTCACTGTCGCAGCGCTCAGGCGATGGCTGTTCGCGCAATTGGAGCCGCTTGGTGTTGCGGGTTTGCTTGTGTTGATGGCAGCAAGTGGAACACCCAAGTAAGAGCAAAGGAAACCAACTGATGCCACTTGAACTTTTACATGGGGGTGGTTGCAAACAAGCGACCTTCTGGGGATACCTGCTTTGCGAGGGCAAAAAAAGCAGCCTGCATGGGGTTCCATTGCTTTGAAATTATGAAACATGCTTTCCTACCATTTGCCCCACAGCAAGATCCAGCCTATCGTTTCTCCAACCTCAAGCATCAAAAAATTATTGATGGCAGGATTCCTTAAGACAGAGACCAATAAGATCAAGCCCTTGATGTGACCAGATTGTTCCAAACATTTGTCACCAAGTCTATTTTTAGGATATTGTTTGAAAGAACAATTCCAATATATTGGACCTTGTGGGCTTCCTTGCTGCCATGCACAACCTAAAGCGGTATGAAGCAACTTCTTCCAGTTCAAGTTCCCGTGGCAGCTCCAGCGGTCACTCTGGCCGATCCTTGGATAGCTCGGGCTCGGAGAGCGAAAGTGGTGACGCTACCCTTTCTCAAGGCTGTTTAGACTTTTCCAGAAGTTTGACATTGAACCAGCTGACCAGTATGGAGGTAGAACAAACCGGGAAAGGTGAGGCGACCAGAAAAAATGGCCAAGACCCTGAAAGAATTAAGATGGTATTAACACAGGGGGCTTGCCAATGCAACCGGAAATGCCACCGACGAGTCAGTTTCAAAATCCTTTCTGTTTGCATTGCGTTTTGGAGCCTGACCAAAGGTGCTCAGGACTGCTTGTTACCTGCCTGTAGCTATATAAATCTTCTTTTTCCATATATTTTCCCATTCCATATTTCCCACTTGGAATTAATGCCAAAAAGGTTACCCCAAACAGTTCCCAAGCAAATTTCTTTACAATCAGGGTTCACCCATCCACTTGCCAACCAAGGCTGTGGAGTCTCCAGAACCCGTGCTGGCATCAACGTGATGAAGCCGAGGATCAATCTGATGACGAGTCCACGCTGTCCAGCAGCGAAAACTCCTCCAAGGGCTCCAGGGGGCAGTGGCAGATACAAGGTGGGATGTGAAACAAGCCTAGGTGTTGAACATATTTATGTTAAATAGTAACAATAATATCTTGGGCAATCTATGGGGCCCCTGCATCAGGAATTCCAGTGTGCCGGGCAGCATTTATCAAGATGTTGGGCACAGGGCGAGACAGGATGGCTCGGACTAAGAGACGCTTCAGGGGTGAGGACTTGAGAAAGTATAGACACTCAAATGATATAGTTAAATTTTGATGCTTCCATCTTATGTTTACTACTTGCTACTGCTTTGGGGTTGCTTATATCATCTTAAATCTAGGTTCTCTGGTTTGTGTTAGTTTGTTTCTTTGTTCTCAGGAAACCCTACAATACAATCACGTGCAGCTGCATCTGTCATGAATTTCCTCCGAAAACTTTACTGGAGCATTGGAGAGACATTGCCTCATGAGAAGCTTGCCCACACTACCAATACTTTCTATATTTACTTTTTTCCTGTAGATATTGGGAAATTCAACCAGGTGGGGTTTCCAACCATTTTGTCCCTATTTTTGCTGTTGTGAAAATATTCAGAAACAAGGATGAAATTTGATCCTCGGAATCCTCTCAGTACTCAAGGAGGGCGAGCAAAACTTGTGGATGTTTTGTTGGAAACATCTATGGGTGGCAGTACTCGTATGACACAGACTGGCCCAGAAAATCTCCCTCGACGGTATCTACCTCCTGGCCGTTACACTGACCTGTTTAGGTTATACACTGCTGAATGCATAGCTCACAGGAGGCCAATGGCAAGTTCTACAACTTTTTTCCGGGTTCTTCGTGAGAGTGGCTGGAGACAGGTCCTTCGATTCAGGGGGGCTAGTACCCATGCTGAATGCACAACATGTCACGAACTCAAGGCCAAAATGAGGCGCTGTCGGGACCTACAGCAGCATGCCAAGGCATGTGACAAATACATGCGTCACTTGGCAGGAACTTTTTGCGATCGCCAATGCTACTGGCAGTTCAGGGAGCGCTCTGCTGTGGCAGGGGATATACTTTCGATCTACCCCCCGCCCAGTAACAGCAGATAAATGATTTTCCTTTAACCTACCCTTTCAAAACGAGCACAAGGAAATTGCTCCAAAAATCTCGGCTAGGAGGTGCCCAAAAAAAAACGTCAACCTGCCCTCCAAACCCCTGATACAGAATTCAGAATTCAAGACAAGGGCTTCACTTTCAAGATCTTTCAAGCATATCAGTTGCATTCCAACATTGAGAAAAGAAGAGTGCAGACTATAGACACTACATTCACGTGTTTCCCTGAGAAGGTGCGAGCAAGGCGTTTGCATCGAAGCAAGGGCTAGAACATATTGTGAAAGAATTGGTCAGCTTGATGCAACTGGCACAATGTACCATATAATGTGCTGAAGCATGGAGTCAGATTGGCCATGTGGGAAAATCGCAATGTTCTTGTAAGCGCAAGGCAGTCCTTGCAACTTGGCAACCATCCCGAACTTTAAATTCTAAACCCTGAGCCCATCTGAACCCTAAATCGCAAAACTTCATTGACGCGTAAGTACCAACAGCCAAAACCAGCACAAGCAGACACAAAAAGAGCACAAACAAAACACAAAAAAAACACAAAAAAAGCACAACAAAGCACAAAAAAACACAAAAAAAAGCACAAGAAAAAGCACAAAAAAAGCACAAAAAAGCACAAGGAGACCGCAAAAATAATTGCGAAAAAAATGGAAAAAAAGAAGCTTGGGCAAGGAAAGGTCCAAAGGACGACCAAAACGAGCACCAGAGGGACCACAAGAAAAGCATAATTTGAGCACCAGCCGAGCACAATTTGAGCACCAGCCGAGCACAATTTGAGCACCAGCCGAGCACAATTTGAGCACCAGCCGAGCACAATTTGAGCACCAGCTGAGCACAATTTGAGCACCAGCGAGCACAATTTGAGCAATTTGAGCACCAGCCGAGCACAATTTGAGCACCAGCCGGGCACAATTTGAGCACCAGCCGGGCACAATTTGAGCACCAGCCGAGCACAATTTGAGCACCAGCCGAGCACAATTTGAGCACCAGCCGAGCACAATTTGAGCACCAGCCGAGCACAATTTGAGCACCAGCCGAGCACAATTTGAGCACCAGCCGAGCACAATTTGAGCACCAGCCAAGCACAATTTCAGCACCGGCACCAGCGCAAATTTGAAATTATGGAAAATGAATGCAAAGCACCAGAGGGACCACAAGAAAAGCACAATTTGAGCACCAGCCGAGCACAATTTGAGCACCAGCCGAGCACAATTTGAGCACCAGCCGAGCACAATTTGAGCACCAGCCGAGCACAATTGGAGCACCAGCCGAGCACAATTTGAGCACCAGCCGAGCACAATTTGAGCACCAGCCGAGCACAATTCGAGCACCAGCCGAGCACAATTTGAGCACCAGCCGAGCATAATTTGAGCACCAGCCGGACAATTTGAGCACCAGCCGAGCACAATTTGAGCACCAGCCGAGCACAATTTGAGCACCAGCCGAGCACAATTTGAGCACCAGCCGAGCACAATTTGAGCACCAGCCGAGCACAATTTGAGCACCAGCCGCACACAATTTGAGCACCAGCTGAGCACAATTTGAGCACCAGCCGAGCACAATTTGAGCACCACCCGACCACAATTTGAGCACCAGCCGGGCACAATTTGAGCACCAGCCAAGCACAATTTGAGCATCAGCCGAGCACAATTTGAGCACCAGCCGAACACAATTTGAGCACCAGCTGAGCACAAAAATTGGAAAAAAGTAAAACCAAAAAAGTCAATTGGTTGCGCAGCCCCAGCCCCAGCGCCAGGCCCAGCCCCAGCCCCACCACGTACCAGACCCCAGCACCCTAGCCAAGCCTAGCCCCAGCCCCAGCCCCAGCCCCAGCCGCAGCCCCAGCCACCCCCAATCCCCCAGCCCTGCGGGTTTGGTGGTTGTGGTGGTGGTAGTGGTGGTGGTGGTGCTGCTGCTGCCGCTGCTGATGGTGGTGGTGGTCGTAGTGGTGCTGTCGCTGGTGGTGGGGTGGTTGTTTATATTGTTGCTAGTTGTCATTGCTAAGGTTGTCGTAGTGGCTAAGAATTGCTACGGTTTCCAACGGAATGTTGGTGATAAGTTGGCCAGTTCCTAGCAAATCTGTAGCAGCCAGAGCCGAGAAGAGAGAAACAGACACCTGTGCAGCTTGATTCCTTCCGATTCACATGAAACTTTTTTTTGCCATTTGATGATTTAAATATTAATGGTGTCTACCTGATCCGTTTTTTGATTTGGTATAGGAATTTATCCGTATCATATCACCAGATTGGACCCTTGTTTTCTGCATTTGGCTGGTGCTCATTTTGTGCCCCTGGCTTGTGCTCACTGTTACTGCCCCGGGGGTAGATCAAAGATATACTATGTTGTATAATAGATGGCATGGATAAGTCAAAGTTCCTTCTACCACGATATTGTTTTGCAACCACCCCCAAAGCATTGGAGACTCGGACAAGACCAGCTTGCGAGTTGTCAGCGGTTCTGGCGCACGGTTGGGGCGTGTTTGTTTTTGTTACTGATTCTGAGCAATCTACTGGCACAGATTGGGCATGCGAAATTCTGTCGCGAACGCTCGACAAATGTTGGAAGTTAGCACAAAGCACGAAGAGATCATGGCCTTCAGTTCTGAAAGTCTTTTCAGACAACACTCCAAAGGTTTCTTGATGTTTTTTCAGTCAAGAATTCCTGTGTGTGTTTTTGCTAGTTTGTACTGTTATTCTGTTACGGCCTTCAACTTTCTGGGCTTTGAAAGGGTTGTGCTCCAAGGAGTGTAAGAACAGTATTTTTGGAAGGTATTTGTCGTTATTAACCACTTGCGGCTGTTTCTCCAATACAGCTGCCGAACATCTTACTGTTGGTCACACGCATGAAGACGTGGGAATCTCTAGGATGAATTGGCAATGGTTTCCTATTGTTTTTCTTCACTTCTGGGAATTTTTCAAAATACCTCTGAGGTTGTCCATACCCTACCTGTGCCAATGAACTAAGATGGTTTTTTCGGATTGGTGAGTCGATTGATTCGTGAAGGAGATGATCAAATGTGCCTCGTCGGGATCAACGGGGTGGTTTGGTTCCTGTTTTCATATTGTGTATGTTCCTGTTTTTCCCAAGAATGTTTTCCATAATTTCCCAGTAACAACTTCCAGCCATTTAAGGCAAACTCCTGAAGATATTTTACAGATGTTGAACCGCAAACTCAAGAACTCCTTTGGCAAGAAGCAGCTACTGTTTGAAGCCGAATATGTTACCAACATTCGAAACTGGGCTGACTCAATGCCTCAAATGACAACCCTAGCAGGGGCTTTCAAGAAGAGATCCATGGATGACAACAAATTAGTTCCACACAGCTTTGCCTATGTACGAAGGGATGCTATGCCACAAAACCTTCAGGAAGAAGTTTCCAACCGTATGCCCCGGAGGTTTGCTGCATCTCCAAGTGATGTTTTCCTGCTTGTCAAAGCATTCGTTTCAGACACCCAACTATGTCAACCCCCTTTGCTAGTCTGGCCAGGGCAGGAGGTGTCTCAGGCACAGGAGTCACTACGGCAGATTGCAAGTAACAGGGTGCCCGGGGTTGCTGTGTATTTGGATGATGACCGGAAAACAACTTTGATGGAAATAGCATCTTACTTGGAGAAGAACTACACAGGATATGGGAGGGGCATACTCTACCTTCGACAGTTGGCTGGTACTGTGGCAAAGCCCCGGGTTCCAGCTCCATCATTGCAGTTCTTGTTACAAGGGCCCTGTGTTGGAAGGTATCTTGACCAAATAGAGTCTTTAATGTTTCTTTTAATGAGGGTTGAAGGGCACCCAAACTAATAGGTAAAATCGTAGGATGTTTGTTAATAGCTATGTCCCCATCCCAGGCAACAGGGAGTCATCCATTTCGATACGCCGACACCGCACGTCATGCACACCATGCGCGTGACTTTCCATCGGCACTACTGATTGTCATATGATGCAGTGGACAAAAATGCTATGCCGGAAGTATTTGATTTAAACGTTTGGGTCTTCCCACAACTCTCAAAATTTTCCAATTTGGTGGAACTTCACTAGGTGCACCTCCATTTTCATTCTACCAAGTATCTAAGCATTTGCATTGACACATTTTTGGGTCAACCCTTGAAATAACCTTCTGACAGGCCCACTTTTTTTCTTGGTGGGTTTGGCTACATGCACCTAGGTTTAATTCAGTATCAAAACCGTTTGGATTTTTGAAGAGTTTGGGGTCTAACCTGCTTGAAACAGGGTTCTGGCAGCCCCACTTTTGCTCTTGGTGGGACTTCCTCCTAGCTCGGTTCTAGTTCTACCGGGTTGCGGGGTGCCATGACAGCACCTGCTGTGAAGACTGAAGTCCCTAGGTACAGTTTAGCCATTCTATTATGAAATTTATATGTTTATTTGCCCCTGAAAAAATACTATTTTATAAGCGGGACATTGGTATAACATACCCTTCCCCTTGACTTGAAAGGTTGATGGTGAAGATGGCCCCGGCCCCAGCCAAGCCACGTCTCCTCCATCAGTGAAGCAGCGCCTTGTGAGCTTGATGGAAGAGGTGCAACCATCGACTGTAACATACCTCGGTGCCGTTGCAAAAATGCCTCTATTCATATCTATAATATATGTTTAAATACAAATATAATATAATCATATATAATATAATATATAATATAATATATAATAAAATAAATAATAAAATATAATATGATACAATATGATACAATTTAATATAATATAATATAATATAGTACAATATAATATAGTATAATATTATATAGTATAATATAATATAATAAAATATACTATAACATTATATAATATAATATAACATAACATAACATAACATAATAAATAATATAATATGTTATGATATATAAGAAAATAAAATATAATATATTATAATATAGCATAATACATATATACTGTAATATTCCCCATTGGACCCTGCTTACACCCTGAAGGTGACAGCGTCAATGAATATGGGCAAGTGGCTTTGGGACCGCTATGGTTCAGCAGAAGGACAAAAACAATTCATGCTGGTGCGGGGTGTTGAAACAAAACCAATCATTTTGTTTTAAACAAAATCCAACCAAGCCCCCAAACCCATCCAATATCTCCACAAAAGAAATTTCTATTATTTCATGATTTGTTCGAGTTTCTTTTTTGGGGGGCAGGTGATGATGAAGTATCTAGCAATGGAATGTGTAGCTCGGGAGTTGGAAGAGATCTCTGTCCCCTTGAAGAACATCCCGGGCGCTTCTAGGAAAAACATGTTCCTATGCCCATGGATGCTTGACTGCAGCGAAACAGGCAAGTTTGATGGATTGGGTCGCTACCCCAGCACATTGCAGTTCCGAGCCCATTTCCCGTCCATTGTGAATTCCAATTACCAGAGCGAAAAGGAGGCCTTGGAAGTCAAATTCACAAAGGTGAACTCGCAGACTTCTACCGTGGAACCGTTCAGCATTGGGTATGTTGATGGGCAGAACAAGGGGCTGATTGTGCAATCTATCTTCGCCTTGCTAGAGCTAGCAGAAGGGGCCTTAGTTAGTTTTTTCCTTTGCTCACCGCTTCCAGAACATGGCCAAAAGACCAATCCAAAAGCATTCGAAAAAATACAGTTTCATACAAAGCTTTCTTAAACTGGGGATACCCTCAAATCATCCTAAATGAGACCATTTTGGTATTGAAACAACTGGTATCCCATTTCAAGAACTCACCAAAATATGATGTCAAATTATATATATATATAAAAGATCCCAATACCATTCACTGTCCTGCATTGTGGCTTAGGGCATTGATGAAGAGACCCTGAACAATGATCCGGATGCTTGCAAGTTGATCGCCAGTTTGAAGTACTTGAGGGCCAACTACCGCAAATTTGATTTACCAGAACATTACCTCTACGAGACCTTGAGCTCCATTGCTTTGCATAAGTGGTTTTGGAGAACCAACATGCTTTTCAAAGTTTGTTTTTTTTGGAGGGGGTCTGATATGTAGCTTATTAGATATGGAACCCTTTGTGGAATTTCATTGCGCTCCCCCATCCAAGGCTTGGCCAACCGAACCGCTGAGAAGGTGAAACCATCAGCTTTGGATATCACTCTGCTTTTTCGGGAGGCTGTGAGGGTGAAGCGGCTTTCTACTCCAGGTGTATCTGTTCGGGACCTTCTGAACTCTGTCGTGTCTGAATACAACCGAAGCATTACCACCAAGGTAGGGTACCAGTCCAAAGAATGTTAATGTTTAACAAATGTATTCCAAGTCGCATATTTTTGACAGGGGCTCAGTTTTGGGTGGTGGCCGTTCCCAAAAATAATCACTGGGGTTCCCCAGGCATGGCAGGTGAAGCAAGGGCTTCGCAAGGCTATCTACAACTTGCTGCAGGCACCTGATGCCTTGATTGGCATCATGAAAGCCATGTATGAGAACTACAAGCCTGAACATGCAGGCCGCAGGGCACCTTCAAAATGAACTGGAGTTTCTTAAAAAGGGGATCCCCAAAATCAAATGTTTCAATACTTGAAGTGATCTGATTTAGGATGATTTGCTGGTAACATGTGGTAACCCCATTTTAGAAAACCATCATATAGCAATCGATAATTTGCATACCCCAAAACGATACATAAAAATCCAAAACAAATTTCTATTTGGGGCCCAAATTACTATCTTTAATTCTTATTGGCTCCCTGAACCCTGCAGCTTTGAACATTGAGAATTTGGGTGATGCTGACTACCTCATCCCGGGCGGGGTTTGCGATAGCCAAGCCGCTGGCATCTGGAAGGAGATCAAGGCAAGGGCAGCTAGGTCCAAGCCAATCCTCGGAAAATATATTCATGCGTTTGCTTAATGATTTTGTTTACAAAGACCCTTTTTGACCCTGCAAGACGATTACGAAGACTGCCATTCTTGCTTGGGCGACCAGAGCGAAAGCAGACCATGAACGCCATGCTCCAAAGCACGCCCCGTCCAAGCAGAAGGACCTTTTCGGGGTCCTAAACCATCCCAACCACACAGGTCTATCGAAAAGACACTGTCACCAATTCTTAACTGTTGTCTTTTTGTGCTTATACCAGGTCAACATCCTTAAGATAAGGCCACTGCTAACTTGTTAAGTGTGCAGATTTCAGCTAGTCTTGTAAGCCGTAAGCCCAAGCTAGTCTTCCCCATAAAATTGTTTTGCAGAACAGCCCTGTCCAGAAAATGGCCCAGAGAGATGCCGCTCAGCTTCAAGAGTTGATGGAGATGGCCTGCTTGTTCTCTTGGCTCTTTCCTAAGATGGAGGTCTTGCTTGGCAAGGGCAAGGTTCTGGATGGCATACTGACTATGTGGGAGATGGGGAATCTCAGCCAAAAAAATTAAAACACTGTATTTTTTGACCATCTCTTAGGCTAAGGAATCATACTGTGGAATTTAAAATCCGATGTACTGTTTCCTGAAATTGCAGGTGGTGATGATTTTTTCTTAGCTCTGTTTCCACCAAAAAAATCATGCTAACCCTGGGAAAGGCCTTTCTATACGGTGGATTTTAAATTCCGCGGTATTTTCCACTAAGATTGGGATCATCTATAAATTCCTGTGATTTCAAAGATTCTGAACATTAAGGAGCTTGAGTAAACCGCAAGATTTCTCAGGGCTTGGAAAAAAAAACCGCTGTATTGCCTGAGGTAGGGGAAAAAAAAACGCAGTATTCCTTTGGGAACCGTTTTTCAAACCGCAGTATTCCACATGCCCATTTTCAAACCGCAGTATTCCTGTGGTGTCTATTTATCAGACCGCAGTATTCCTTGTGCATTTCTTTGAACTGATGTGTTCCCCTGCAAAGCACCGGGTTTCCTTGGCAGGAAGTTTAACCACCTTAGCCATATGCCATTAAGTGTACATATCTATACAAATTTGGAAAATTGATAAGCCATGCCATGTCCTGGTGTTCTTGAATATTTCAGATTTTATCAACAGTCTTTGTCATGTTGCCCTGGGCTAAGGGCATTGGACAGCGAACTGCGCACTCACATGAAAGCCAATGATGCGTCCTTTGACTACAAGAAGTTGAGCTTCTTGATGGAAGCTTCAGGAGTCATTCAAGAAGAACATGTGTTGACTGCCCAAAGCAGTGTGGCGAATGCGCGGAAACAATCCCTTGCTGCCGCGTATCAGCTGTTCCAGACCAATCTGGAGAACGACCAGGTTCAGCATGAAAAGTTCCTGGCCAGTGCTGAGGCGAATGCGAGCCGCACCAAGACCATCATGATCCAGTCTCTAGAGGACACTGTTGAAATCGTTGCGTTTCAAATAGGGTGATCTATGGGTGATCTTTTTTCCTAGTTGTTCATGTCACAATGGTATGTCTCAAAATAGTGACACACCCTTTTGTCAAGTAACCGTTTTGAACTAAAAATGGCGCGTCCATACAGATACCCAAACCAAGCAAAGACCATCCAAGACCATTTTTTCTTTTGAGATCTAATGTTTTCTATCTTTGGTTGACTGCCAACTGCCAGCTGCCATGGAAACCCTGCAGAAAATGCACACTACCGCATGGCGGCTGGTGAACCAGTTCAGCGGGGAATCTATGCCTACTTGGTGTGTCACGCCAAGCAAACCCATGGGATCTGGAGGCGCACAACAAAAGTTTTGTTTGCCCATCAATTTGCATTGCGATATCCCAAAGATCAGATATTATTTATACCCCAAAAAAACATTACAGATTTCAAGACCCAAAGCCATGACAAAAATACTACCCAGTGAATACGCACAGATAAGATTTTTTCATTGGGTCCCAATGAACAAATTCTATTTTTCAGGGAGGGAAACCCATTGAGTAATCTTACTCAGCCAAGACCGAAACTTTAGACTTTTTTCCCTTGGGTCCAAAAATAAGCTTATAGGGGAAGCAGTTTAAACATGTTTAATGAAAACAAGTTTTAACTTTTTTCCGGGAGATCACCCACTGAACACACATTGGATAATGGGAGAAGGGTCTATGCACTGATGTTTACAGCAATCTATCCCTGAAGGTGAGGAGGATCCTGACAACCTCCCAACCATTGCGGCCAAGCTTGAACCATGGCTCCAGAGCACTTTGACTGGCTTTGGAAGTGGCATCCGCCGCCCTGAGCGCGAAAGGCTCATTGGTTGGGTCAACTTCGTCTCTTGTGGGGTGGTCTCTGGAAAACGTTTGATGTTTGCCCTGGAGACACTGACCCAACTTTGCCACAGCTACAGCAAAACATTCGTGGGGGTGATCATTCTTCCCAACAGAGCTGGTGATCTGCGTTCAAGCCCATTGAAGTATCTAGGTTATTCAACAACTTGTCGGTGATATGTAGTCTTAAGATTTGGGTTTGTAATTTACAAGTAAGTATATAAGGATGAGTTGGAATAAAACTTAATGAATTCATGTTAATCAGTCTTGTTGTTGTCTCGACCCTGGGTTGGAATAAATAAGCTTCCTTCAAACATGGTTCAATCAAGCTTCAGGCATGAGAAGGCAGAGAATGCTGACGGAAAGGAAGAGCCAGAAGAAGGCCAGCCAAGCCGGTCACATCCAGTGAGCACTCAATACCATTTGTTTGTCAAATAGTCGGTTTCTTATTTTACTTATTGGTTTGTTGAATCTGAAGTAATGAAAGGGAACGATACCCCATATGTTCCAAGATTTTTTCTCCTTTTGACTTTGGGATCTGTTTCAATAACAAACTGTCAAAAAGGCCTGTCGTGAGTTAGCCCAATACCCCTGAACCAGGAGATGATGAGGACCCGGATGCAACAGATGAGGAGGAGAAAGGTGCCACTGATGCGGAGCGGATCTTGAGAGACTATCGCTACAAGTTGCAGTGTCAGCTTATGGCTGCCGACCGAAACCTCAAGGTCACTTGTTCCAAATGTATTTTGGGGCTTCAGTGGATTAAACGGTGATAATTGGGTAATTACCTGGAAACCCTGAAAACATGAAATGGGAATCTTGACTAAGGGGTTGGATTGGTACCACAAAATGCGCTAGCCCAACCCAATGAAATAGATTCGATAATCAAGAGTATATTATGGGACCACAAAACGTTTTATGTTATAGTATGGCAATACCTTTTGACCACCTTCCAGCGCCCACAGCGCGGCCTCCATCATCTTGGCTGTGTTTCTGGCTCCTTGGATGGTCATGCATGGTCAAAATGACATGATCATAAGTTATTAGGAACCCAAGCTGATATCATGTTGACCAGTAGGAACCCAACCACACCCTACTAGTATGTTGAGTGTTTTACCACATGGGAACTCCTCTCCATTCTCCTTGAGAGCATATCTTATGTTAAGCAACCCCATCACCAATATGGAACTATAAAATAATGAGTGATCATCTTGGGAATCCCTCTTGACAGGTGAAGAATTGCAGCGCCATCTTCGAGGACACCACCGTGTATGGTTCTCGGGAAGGGGCCTACCCATGCCTTCTGGTGACAGCGGCCGACAAGAACAACATCTACCACAAATCACGAGCTTGGAAGCATGCAGTTGTAAAGGGGATCTCGATGCTACCCAGGGGTGAAATGCTGAAGGTTGACAAGGTTGATAGCTTCTTTGCTGCCAACGACCGCTTCACACCAGTCCAAGAACTCAAACAGGTTGGGGTGTTTTTGCCCAAAGCTATCTGATGTGTTTTGTTTCCACACCTGGCCACTGAACCCAATAACCACATGTAAGTTCCAGGATGTATGAAGTCAAGAAAAAAATGTAAAGATTTGAATCCAATCACCCCACCTCTAGACACATGCCCGCTGCCCCTGCAGCATTGTGCTGGAGCAAGCTTCGTCGAGAAGTTCGTGGAGAGCCTGGCACCAACGGGCAACACAGTGGTGGTTGACATGTTTGGGTACGATGCCTGGCCTGCCTCACATTGCCTGCAAAGGGTGGTGCAAGGACCTATGCCATCAGTTTCCAACAGTTCAGCCCTCAAGAATTTATCCACCAAAGGTCAAACCATCATTTGATTAAGTGTCAGGGCATCAGGTAATGTACAGATTCAATCATGAATGGGTATAGACATTATTTCAGATCCAGTACATATAGTTTCAATGCGATTAGTTGGGAATCAATCCTCTTTAATAAAGACTTTTTGGGGATATGGGTAAGCCATGGTTAGCCATTGTTTGGGTATGTTCAGTATGGTTTTAAATATGTAAATACAACTAGATGGTGAAACAAAAAGCCGTATTCAATGTCCAATTGACAGCAAAAGTTCAAAAGTGATCCCTAATTCCCTGTAGGACAGCAGGTGTGCTGTGCGACGGTGTGCCACACCAAAAAGGAGGGTGAGTACGTTGCTGCAGCCATCGCCAACAAAGTCTACAGCTTGGCCCGGGAAGGCCGTCTATCTTTGGCTGGATTTCCCCAGTTCAGCTCTTGCACGGATGACCTTCAGAAACTCCAATCCATGGACCCACCAGCTTATGAAGTTTGTGTAGGTCTCCCAGATGGAACTTTGGTGGTGAAAGAGACTTTGGTTCAATATTGGTGTGTCACCAACCCAGACTTCGAAGCTGACACAAAGGAGTTGATCACCAAACACAACGCCCGGTGGAACAAGAACAACTTGAAGCGATGCCTTGAGGGAGAAGATGGTGCACAGCCAGGTCAGCCTGCCAAGCGTTTGAAGGTTGACACCACGAAACCGAGTGACCACGAAGACCAGATGGAAGACAGGACCCCTATGTTAGATGGACATAGCAAACAGGAGCCCAACAAACCCCACAAAGCAACATAAGTGCAGGTTATTTGGAAGCACCAGTTGTTCTTTCTTCAATACCCCCAATCCTGTAGAAAAATAACTTTCCCAAAATGTATCAAACTGTCTTCAACCTTATTTTGAGTTTGTATTTTGCCATGGGACCCTGAGGATTACTTTGTCCTGTGGGAATTTCAAGCTCATCTGTGATCGCAAAGCGAATGAATTGTGGATTCTGGCTGACTCTCAGGACACAGCGCTAATCCAAGCTCTTGCATCTACGGAACTCTTTGGCTTGTTTCAAAGGGCACAGCCCGTGATGTCATGAGTGACTGTGGCGACAGTGGCCGCTGGCTTCCCTTCTTAGTCAAAGATGGTACCCAGAAATGCATCATAGAGCTTGACCGCAGGGCCCCAGATCATGTGAAGAGCGCAGATTTCTACAACAAGGTCATTTGCCTGCCAACATCACTAGTTAAGGGAAAGGGGGTGGTTTAAGAATCTAAATAATATTGGATTTTCTGATACCTTAGTTAAAACCAATCAAAACCCATCAGGAGGTCTGTTGTTTGTCCACAGCCCTCAGGTCACTACTTTGGCGGATGTCATGTCAAGTCTGCAACAGCTGGGTGAGGTCAACGTCAAGCTGTCCATGCATGATTCTGGGAAGACCGATGATGGGGGGATTCAATTTACCCAGATCGAACCGGTGTGCTTTGTGCTGGATGCCTTGAAAGAGAAGCGTAAGAAGGCTAGGTTATTGGGGATAGTATACAAAGAAAATAGTTTTGAACCCCTAATGAACTTACAGTGAAATATTGGTGATCTTATTTCCCAGCCCTGGCCAGACCACTGGCAGCGCTACAACATTCGGTGCCAAGCTGAGCCTTGCCAAGCTGCGCAGCTCCAAGAACTTGGAAGTTGTCTGGCGGCTGAGGCGAGTGGTGGATGGAAACCAAAAATCTGAGGGATGGTTGGGCCAACCACAGGGTATGTTCAATTCACTGGGTATGTCGGGGAAAAATTGATTCATCCTTGTTTGGGGGGAAACCCTTAAACTGGAATCGACAAGCAAAAATCCTTGAGCTCCACAATCTCCAAAATCTTGATGTAAGCCTTTCCATTCATCGTGGTGGGCTTCCAAAGGTCAGAGCAGGTCCGGTACCCTCCGATGCGGGGGTGCTTCGTTTCCGTAAGCAACCTGAAGTTCGATCCCAACAGCATGTCGCGACCGCGTCGCTCAGTTGTGTGCCAACTCCCATGCCATGGGACTCAAGCGGGGCGATCCACAGGTAGCTTCCATCACACTCTCAGGAGAAAGTAGGAACTGACCATAGCCATTTCCTCATATAACGCTTACATATCAAATATGATAATATATTATGAAATGAACATGTATTACATAATACTATGTTCTCTTCAAATATATGTATGTGATATGAAATACCATATGTTATATACTGTATTGTATTGTATGTTTACCACAGATGGTTTGTATTTTGTGGCTTACATATCAAATATGATAATATAGTATGAAATGAACATGTATTATGTAATACTATGTTTTCTTCAAATGTATGTATGAGATATGAAATACCATATGTTATATACTATATTGTATTGTATGTTTACCGCAAATGGTTTGTATTTCTCCACCTGCCAGGTGAGGGTTGTTAGATTTTATGAGAGTTGTTCTTCTCCTCCTCCTCCTTCTCCTCCACCACCTCTGCCTCCACTTCCATGTTCACTTCCGCCTTGCCAACTCTTCGTCAATCTCTTCGCCAACTTCCGCACGCAGTGGGCACTGCTGGACCTCAACTGCAAGGGTCTGAGCGCACTGGGCACCACTGGACCTCAACTTGGGACCTGCCGAGTTGAGTGAGCACCGCTGGACCTCAACCTGGGACCTTCCGAGCTCAGTGAGCACCGCTGGACCTCAACCTGGGACCCGCCGAGCTCAGTGAGCACCGCTGGACCTCAACCTGGGACCTGCCGAGCTCAGTGAGCACCGCTGGACCTCAACCTGGGACCTTCCGAGCTCAGTGAGCACCGCTGGACCTCAACGGCCAGATAGAATGCCAGAAGATATGCCAGATAGAATGCCAGATAGCATGTCAGATAGAATGCCAGAAGATATGCCAGATAAAATGCCAGAAGATATGCCAGATAGAATGCCAGAAGATATGCCAGATAGAATGCCAGATGGTATGCCAGATAAAGTGCCAGAATGCTTGCCAGATAGAATGCCAGAAGATTTGCCAGATAGAATGCCAGATAGGATGTCAGAAGATATGCCAGATAAAATGCCAGATAGAATGCCAGAAGATATGCCAGAAAATATGCCAGAAGGTATGCCAGATAGAATATCAAATAGAATGCCAGAAGGTATGCCAGATAAAGTGCCAGAACGGTAGCCAGATAGAATGCCAGAAGATTTGCCAGATAGAATGCCAGATAGGATGTCAGAAGATATGCCAGATAGAATGCCAGCTACTAATATGCCAAAACATATGCCAGAAGATATGCCAGGTAGAATGCCAGAAGATATGCCAGATAGAATGCCAGATCGAAGATATGTCAGATAGAATGCCAGAAGATTTGCCAGTAACAAATCGATAAATGTCATGGTGGGGATCACACGAAGTAAAGTAATTTGTAACATGCATGGTGTATTTTTTTGGTATAATCTTACAATGTATAGCTCTCCGTAAAACATACCTTTTGGTCTATAAAATCCCTTGTGAATCCTTGTGGTAAAATCCTTTTGGATCCTTCTGGTATGAAATCCCATTCTCAAAGATTAATGTACTTGATGCACCGTGCAGGCTACAAGTTGGAGCAACTGATGGATCCGTTTCGGGGACTACTGAGCTTGTGCCGGTGCGACCTGTGACTACTCTCGCAGCCGATTTGGAGATGAAGGTGGGTGAGATGTACCAACTCCTTTAAATGGGATCAGCCAGGCCATATGATCATATGATGTTCAAAACAAACACCAAAACCTATATCATTTGGTTAAAACAGTTTCCAATAGATAACCAATAACCTAAACAAATCTGAAATTTCAACCTCATCTTATCTTGTGCTTTCCATGGCCAGAGCTGAGGGGTTTGTTGAAGGCACCAGCTTTGAATACACATAACCCCATTACTATTCATAAATATAACTTATACAGATCCTACAGATTCATTCTACAACTACATGTCCAGAATCAAAGACTATTTTATTGATCAATTCAATCTCAGTTGACGCCTTCTTTTTCTTGTATGGGCTAGCCGGCTAGGGTTCATTGTCGTAAAGACAATATAGTCCTTTCAGGGCAAAACTGTCCTTTCTGCTGTGACCTTGCAGCCAATCCAGCTGGAAACTATGTTCCCAACACGGCAAAGGACCCGGCAATCAAGTTGGTGGGAAAAATCACATAGCAGGTCCAACTTGGATGTAAAACACTATTTTATACCTCTTTTGGTGGGGAAGTTACCCAAATGGGGTGAACCACAATTTGGTTGTTTACTTCTTATAATATCCTATTATGTTATGAAGATGAAGCTATAATGGTTATAATGTTTCAAATCAGTTGGCAACCTGATCCTGCAAGAAAACAGCTCCAGTGCACACCCAGTCCGCCTATTGAGACAGGCTGTGACATGTCAGAACTGTCCTTGGTCCGCACAGGCTCAACAGTTCCACTTGGTCAGTTTAGGTTTGGGCCATTCAGCCCCGCATGTCTTCATCTGATGTCGAAGAGGTGGAACCCTCCCAGAGTTTCACAGTGAGCAAGGCGTTTGATGTGAAAGACTATGCCAAGTACATGAGCACCCCTGTTGCTTCCCAGAACACAGGGCAATCCAGTTCATCCATTGGAGCCCCTTCAGGTTTCTAGATTGGTACCTGCATGCATTTTATCTATTTTTTGCAGGGTAGTAGCATGTAGTAGTCCTGTTTCCCTGCCCTTTTGTAGTGCTACTTTCCGCTTCCCCATCTGTTGTTCCAAGGATGTTCTGGCCTTCAACGTGTAGAGCTGAAGTCTTCGGAATCCCCGTCTGGTTCTGACAAGACCCAGGATGAGAAAGGAACGAAGAAGAAGAAGAAGGACAAAGATGATAAGAACAGAGCTGACAAAGATACCAAACGTAGGAGAAAAGAAGACAAGGAGAAAGATGAGAAGAAAGACTCCAAGAAGGACAAGAAGAAGGTCGATGCTGAACAGGAACTAGTTTCTTTGTTTGGGCCCAATGGACCTGAAGATGATGAAGAAGGAGACCCCCCAGTAGATTCTGATGAGCAACCTGTTCGCAAGAAACCAGCTGGAAAGAGCCGAGACAGCAAGGCAAAGCCCAGCAAGAAAGATAAGACTGACAAGAAGACAAAGAAGAGCACCAGAAAGGGCAACAAGCGTAATGATGGTGATTTCGCAGTGGAATCCTCTGAGGAAAATTGCCGTGATGATGATGATGAGGTTGCTGATACCCAGATCGACAGCCCTGATCGCCCGACCCTTCGCCGTATGACACCTCTGGATGAGGACTTGCTCAAGAGCATCGAGATGGCAGATGCAGCCGAGGCTCTCGCAATGAAGCGCAAATGCCAGGCCAGGCCAGTGCTTCCACCAGGTTTGCCACATGATTTCCTCAAGGGGCCACAGAAGGTAACCCTGAACATTCAATCCCAAAATCCACTTATGATATTTTTTTGGGTATGTTTATGGGTGCATCTTGCCTACAAGTAAACCATAAAACGTTATGCTATAAATTGGGTTTGTCAAACATTTGAAATCCATTTAGGAGAAGATGGTGGATGCTTCCCCGGGCTACTCTATGGGGGCCAACTCGGACGCTCCTTTGTATGAGTCCTTGAGTCCCAATGCCCAGACCCGCTACACAGATGGGATCAGTGTCATTGCTGATGTCTATGGGGATGTGTTCCACAATGGCATCACGGGTTGCAGTGGCAATGACTTACCTCCCGATGGCCTTCCTTACTTTCCCACGGGTTGTCCGTCTGATGAGGAGCTATCCCCAAAGAGTCTTGCTACTAAGGATGCTGTGGGCGAAATCCAGACAATTGAGGATACCTACAGTCCCGCTTTCAAGTGCGAAGTCTTCCCGGATAGGCAACTTGAGTCATTTGAGATGGAAAAGTCCCCAGCGTGCCCAAGGAAGGAAGGTGAGTTCGGGACCCCCGGGGCCATGACGGTCTCTGATGGGGAACCTGAGATTCCGGTGCAGCCTGAGTCTGATAAGTATTTTGGCAGCTATCACAAATTTTCGGCCCCCCAAATATTATTTTAAGCCATGGTCATCACTATGAATTTCAGGTCTTTTGATTATGTCATAAATCTAAAACACAATCATTTCCAATACAGTATTGATCCCTTTAGTGCACCCACAAGGTCATTGAATCTTGATGAGTCTGGGAAAGGCCCTCCCTGTGACCTACGCGCGTTGCCACCCATTTGAGGATTTGATCAGTTTTTGTTTGTTTGATTGGTTTGCGTTCATGTGAAATACTTACTCTATCTTCAATCCAATCCATGACCACAAGAAAACCAAAAAATATTTTGGCACATCTATGTTCTTTACGCCCCACTAAACTTTTGCAGTCTCTGAGGTTGGCATCGCAAGCCAGCCCTATGCATGACCGATTGCCTGGTGATTCCGTTGCTCTTGATTCGGGTGATCATGTCCCGATGGAACCAAAGGCTTTGCCCAAGAAAAGGGGCCGTCCCCCTAAGGCCGAGTCAAAGCCAAAAGCGAAGCCTACCCCAAAGGCAAAGTGCAAAGGAAAGATTGCGAAGCCCAAGGCTTGTTCATCCAAGTCGAAGGCAAAGGCCGCGGGGAAGCCAAAGGCCGCGGCGAAGCCAAAGGCCAGGGAATCTTACTGTTTTTAAGATTTTTGGAGGTATTATTAGTGAGGTATGGTTGCAAATACACAGATACACAGTATAGTTATTATACAAAAAGTGTTTCATAATCCACACAAAGGGCACATGCCCCGAATTCCCGTCTACTCTATAAGCCACCCTGCCCTAACCTTCCGCTTGCCAGGCGTCTTCAAGGACTTCGCGACAAAGTGCACCATCGACCAGGGCATTGAAACAGGATCGGAACAATGCAGCTTGTCAGGTGATAAAATGATGAACCCAAAAAGACATCAAATCAAATTTCATTTTTGGGGTATTGCAAAAAGCCATGCCCACTTTGAATCCTTTAGACGTAGCACATTGCTGGGGAACTTCATATGTTGGATTTATATATCTGGGATATGGTTATAAGTTATATGCCTAAATTGTTCAGCTTACTCTGAGGTATATTCCCGGGCCTATCACGCGGCAAAGCGTGCAGGAGCTACGAAGGAGGAAGTTTCTTTCCTCTATTTGGAGTAGGTTTTTTTTTGTGGATAGGGAGCCAAAAATGGTATGTCCTTTGGTTCACAAAATTTGTTTTCCCAAAGTAGTGGTCCACTAGCTAAGGCAAAGAAGAAAGGCAATGATGCGGTTGCTGCATTGGCCGATGAATCTGTGCAGCCTGAAGAGTCAAGCTGAGCAATAGCCAGTAGGATCTTTAATGGTCTATACGTTTTGGGGTGAACATGCTATGCAGCAAAATCACCAATATGATGGGACCTTTGCTGAAAAATTGTTTCAAACAGAACCTTTGAAACATAACAAATCACTGATTCTCTTTGGGAAGCTGCTGAAAGCATGTGTGGTGCCTACCTGCACTTTGATGCGGGCGCGCAGTGGATTGGATTCAACATGACCTACAAGAGGCAAAACGGTGTTGAGATTATGGATGGGAAGTTGGGTCCTGATCATGGTTGGGAGAAGTCCTAGTTCACATGGGTCTCTTTTATATATAGATGTTGTATCCAAGTCTCCTATAAATCATCACTAGGTGTTTATTGGGGCCATATCCATGAAAACACGTGGAGGGATTTCCTTTTGGCGGTATTTGAGATGGTGCTCAAGGGTTTGGGCCCTATCAGGTGAAGAAAGTGCGAGATTCCCTTCGAATGATGGATAGGCCTGCACAAGTCCATTGCGATGGCTTGGCCATCAAAAGCTTCGTTACCCACATCAAAGGCAAGTTGTATGCTGCTAGCAAGAAACGGGAACCTCATTTGCAAACGATTTTTTCCCCTGAACATTGCTTCAACACCACGCATGGGGCAAACACCTCCCCTTCACACAGTTCTTAGGATGCTGTCGTGGATGAGCTGTTTGCCCACTTCCGAAGCTACTGGCCGCGTGATGGATCCTCATCTTCGTCGCTTGGTGCTGCTGGCCCAGCTGCGCCAGCCGCGCCAGCCGAAGGTGATGGCAGTGACGAGGAGGAGGAGGACCAGGAGTCTGAGTCTTTGGATGAGCAGGACCCAGTACCTGCTGTGGAATCGGATGGGTATGATGTGGAGTTGGCTGCTGCCCTGGGTGTCCCCAAAGTAGTGGTAGAGAACCTGTCGCCTAAGAAACCGTCGCCTGAGAAGTCTGAGAAGCAAGACCCACCTGTGGCAACACTCACAGAGTCAGAGCAAAGGAAGCGTCGGATTCAAGAACTGCAGCCATCCGGTAAGAAATGTTACGTCGGTTTTAATATTACCCAACTCTCCCTGTTTTGATGGCCCTTCTGATTCTGTGTCCCCCATGGTCATTCCATTTGCATCGTTCTCACTCACAGGTGCTTGCTGGAGAAAGTCCGCAACAAGAAGGCAGAGGAGGCGAAGACCGAGTCTTTGCAGGCTTCAGGTGGAGGCCTTGCAGGTTTGGGCTCGCAATCTGACCAGCAACAGACCCTGGCCATGGATTTGTCCCCGATTGCCAACACCTTCTTTGGGCCTGGTGCTGCGCAAGCAGAGAAGGCGAAGGTGTTCACCCGACCCAAAGAGGATGATGAGGAATCTTTGTTGCGCGCCCGGACTCGGAGGCTTGATTCCTTTGCGGATGATGGGGGTGAGGTTCGTGAAGAAGGTGAAGGTTTGGGCGGTGGAGTTCCCAAAGTGTTGGAGGGGCCCAAGGCTCCTGGTGGGGATGACGGCCATGATTTGCAGCCTCGCAAGTTGGAGTCCGTTTTTGATCAGGAGGCACTCAGTTGGGGAAAAGCATGAATGGTTTCAAGTCAAACCAAAATTCATGTCGCTTTCGTTTTTTGATCTGTTTTGGTTTTTGGCCCTCACATCAGGTGGACCTCACTCGCCTTGACCAGCAGTCTTGGAAACGTGAGTTGGAGGAGGAGGCCAAGGCCAAAAAGGCCGAAGGGGGGAATGGTGGTGATGAATCTGATCCACCCAAGCGCAAGGGTAAAAAACTTGGACGGCCAAAAGCGAAAGCCACTCCCAAGCGTGCAGCCAAGTGCAAGCCCAAGGGCAAGGCCACCAAGACTTCTGATCAGCCTGGTGGTGAATCGGGTGAAGTTCCTGCCAAAGTTCCCAAGCGTCGTGTTGCAAAGGCAAAGGAGTCCAAGTGTGTGAGCGAGGTGCCCAAGCCGTGCAAGAGGGCAAAGGTGCTGCCGTCTGCTGCTTCTGAAGATCTCGCCACCCCTCCTCCTTCGAGGGCCGACTGTGGAACGGGAGCAGCTTCCTCTGAGAAGGGTGATCCCCCGGCAAAGGCAAAGAAGACTTTTGCCAGACGCTACAGGCCGACGAGTGCTGATGGGGCCCGTCTTTGGGATGCTATCCGTGCAGCCTTCGTTGCCATTGTGGCGGCGCGTGTGAAGGCCCCATCAAAATTGGAGGTGGGAGGTGAGAAGCTGTTGTTTCAATCAAATCCTGCCCCTTTGAGGCTACCTTCTGGACCTACGTGACCAACACCTTTGGTGATGCTGGCGTTGACATTCAGAAACTGTCGGACAAGGATCTTTTCAGTCGTGCTGACGAAGCAGCCAACCTCTTTGTAGTTCAGCAGACCTGCTAACTCGTAGGGTTGTGGCGAATAGCAGCCACTTTTCTTTTCTATCTTGGAAGCCTTCCTGCTGTGCAGTCTTGAAACCTAGCTCGAAGTCACTTAAAAGCTAGTCAACCTTTGCTTTGGCACCGTCCAGCAGGCGTCGCTCCAAGCAATACTTTGGGGATCGAAGCATTCTGACTGAAGCATCAGAAAAGTTTGCAACTGTGGCTGTGGGATTGTGCTTCAATTTTTTTGTTTTCCACTTACCCTTCACCTATCTTCCCAACCGACATTTTAGAATCTCCAAACCTTGCATGGTAGATTCACAGTTCTAGTTCTGGAACCATGGTTATCTCACTTATCTCTTTGTACTTATCCTTTGCCCCAACCCCCAAAGCCAATGGGTTGATGTACCTACCAACTCCTGCGCAGGTGCTTGGAACATCATGACCGGCCTCCCGAAGGGAAGCGCTGGCTTCGCGCGGTTTGGCCTTATGAACAGTCTAGCTGGCCAGAGTTGAAGGGGGGTATGAAGGGTTTAAACGCACAAGTTCCATGCATTCAAGTTCATGTAGGGTGCTGAATCCACATCTTTCAGCTCCCGCAGAAACGTCGTGTGAAATTGTCACCTGTGCATGCTACTATGCATGGAGAAAGCTGCCATTTCCAATTGTCCCAGGCAGTAGGTTACGGATCTGTTTTGTCCTGCTGCCATGTTACCTACTCAGCTGGATCTGGTATTGAAACGTCTTATCTATTTTGGTGCGCCTAAGGACCCTTAGCTGAAGATTTGTGCTTCAGGAAAGTTCAAGTACAGCCTAGCAATGGTCTGATGTTTCCAATTCCCGCAATTGAGTTTTGTCAATGTCACGTTGGCTGGAGGCCTTCGTGGTTGCTATTTTGCTACTTACTTGGCAATCTTTCTTTGACTTGAGCCAATCCGCAGAGTACCAAGTGCTGGAGTACTATGCAGGAGTGGGGCGAATTGCCCGACTTAGTGCCTGCACAGGGTACCGGGCTGCTGCATTTGATGTGGTTTTTGACAAACCCGAAGTCACAGAGGCTTGGCCAGGCTCCCCCACAACAAAGGCGAAGGTCAGAAACTCTCAATCTGGCAAAAAATGTGCGATGGATTTGACAACATCTTCGGGCTTTACGTTTCATGGCGCGCTCCATCCAAAATGTAACTCCAAAACATGGGTTTGCTTTAAGAATTGGAATGACACAATTCTGGCACTTGATCCCCGTGTTTCCGATCTGAGGTTAGCCCTGGCTATGGCGCTACAAGGTCAGGTCAACGAATGTATCAGTTTCTGGGGCATTTGCTGTAGTAGCTGGATACATATGAATTGTGGCACGAGTGGCCGCAACCATCTTTCGCCGATGGGATGTGAATCGTATCCAAGTGTGCAATGTGCAAACATGCTTGTTAGCAGGCTGGGATGGGTACTTTCCCATCAGTTTGTCACAACTATAGGTGTTTATTGTTCAACATTAATCTATCAACAAGATTGGTGACATTCCTTCATCTTCTCTGTTTGGAAATCTGCCACCAAGTAAACCACGAAATGGACAAAACAAACAATTCCATGTTTTAAAATAGTTTGCTTGAAGTGTGTTTGGGTGATTTGGGGATGTCGGGGAGATGATTTGAATAACAAAGTAATGACCAAACCCTACAGTTCCCTGGAGGTCTATGCTCTTAATATTTTTATGCGTATGTCTCGGTGGAACCCCGGTAGTGGAAAATCCAGGGTCATCAATGATATGGATGCATGAGAGATTCCAATGGCTCCTTGGGGTCCTCGAAGGTATGAAAATTCGAGTGGCTTAGCTATACTGCATGATTTGGGGTTTAATGTGTTTTCCTCACAACCCATGGTTTTTGCGTGGCTGTTCAAATGATTTGAGTTTTAATGTGTTTTCCTCACAACCCATGTGTTTTGCGTGGCTGTTCAATTCAGCACCAACTGAGATGTTCAAAACACGCTTCTGGATGTGTCACTTTAACAGCCCCACTATGAAGAGAACAATTCTTTGGAGCCCTGGTAGCGCGATTGCTGCGTTGAAAGCGTTCGCCACCATGCGTCGTGCAGACTTCCGCTTTGACAAGAAAACTGCCCGAAAATACCGTACCAGAGCTGGTAAAGTGGCCTATCAAGGCACTGAAGCTTTGAAAGGAACCCAGAATCTCAAAGGCAAATAGTTGCAATTGATAGCGTGCAGCGATGGCATTCCAAAATCAATTTGCTGTTTGTTGCTGTACCTAGTTGAACCCTGTCTTGCCTTTCACCTAAGGGTCTACACTCCAAAGTTCGCTGGCTTTGTGGTTCGCATGATTCCCCACTTCAATGACCCGAAGCGGAAGCAGAAGCTTCCTGTACTTCCCAATGTCCCTTTGCGATATTATCGTTTTGATGTTGGTTACTAGGTTACCTGGCCCAGTTTTTCCAACCGCCCATGATCCTGAGCTACCTGTAGCCAGCCCTGGCCTGAGGTCGACATGGAAAAACCACTGCGTCAGCTTTTTGCTGACATGCCTTGGGGTGACCTGTGGCCAGATGCAAAGCTGGTCGAAGTCGTCCGCTATTTGCGGGGGTCGACTCAGCTGGCCATTCCCGCAGGATGGAGGGAGCTGATCCCAGCTGAGCTTTAGCGCCAGCACCAAAAAATCCATGGGGATTGGGAAAAAATGCGAAAATTTTAGGGCGTAAATACCCGGGAAAAAGGCGTAAATACCCGGGAAAAAGGCGGAAATACCCGTCCAAGGTTTTGGGGCTATTTTTGGGAGCTTATGGATTCAAAATTGAAAAGTCATGATCGCTATGTAAAGCATTTTTGTGGCGACCATTCCACACAACTACCCTGTGGTTTGAACTCAAGCTGTGTCAGCGTTTGCAGTAGGGGGTGGGCATGACTTCTAGCCTGCCCAGCAGAGCTTGGTCGTGCCAAACACTCATAAGTGGCTTGGGGTTGTCTCAAAACATCCCCATGACTCTCGACGCCCTTGGGGACATGGATGTGAAAGCCATGGAAGAAGAGTTGGCCAAACTACAGGTGGGGCTTACTCAACACAAATAGGTAGATAGATGGCAAACTAATCTACCTGTCCATTTGCATTTTCATTCTACAGCGTTTCCTGTATATACAGACACGTAGATATTTCTATATATATATATATAGTAAAAAAAAATCTTATATATATCTGATATATATATATTATATTATATATTATTTATTTATATATATATATTGGAGTTTGCATTGATTGATGTTATTGATGTACATCTTAGGTCTTCAAGGGTCGATATGTAAATTGCTGACGCATATTTTCCAAACATGTTATTCACAGTGTCATACCATAGATACCTCAAAAATCGTCTTTGAGAAAGACCTCTGGGGGACATAGACTATCAAATCTTTGCCTAACCTGGAAGGCAGAGGATGCTGCTGCGAATGCCTTGCGAGGAGGACATCCACCTGAGGTTGTGGAGCCTAGGGGGTCTCAAGAAGATTCAGTGAAGGGTGGCCCGGGATCCTTGGTCAATTTATCAATGGTGGGCTTTCCATTATACATGTAGCTGTGTGATGTTTTACTTCGTCCTTGGTTTTAATGAGTTGGTCTCTTAGGGGTATCCAGGAATTCCTTCACAAACCCATCCATTGTGCACCTGTGCACCTGGTTTTCGTTCGAACAGTTAGTTATAATGCATTGGCTTTTTGGAAACATTAAGGGTCTCCCGCTGTGTGTCTTGTCGAACCCCTCATGTCAGCCTAGGATTGGCAGTGACTACACCGGCTCTAGTGATTGATCTTGATCCATCCAACCCTCCAGAAATCCCGGATACCTTGGTGCAGACTCCTTCGGTCAAAGGGATTGGTGAGGTGCCTACCACACAGGTGCTCATTTGGAAAAAAATTGTCCCTTATGTTAAATCCCATATAATCTTCAGAGTTCATGGGGTTTGTGAATACCATATATATCAGCAATCTGGAACACAAAACCCTGGTCAAGGAATGGAATGATATGCAGGATGCTCAAGTACATGATCCCCATGATTGGCTAGATGCGACACCCCGCTACGAAGAAGCCATTCCTCCGTCCCAGCCCGAGGGTGATGAATCACCGCAGCCTGCAACGCCAAAGGTTGAAGCAACCTCTGTGGAGCCAGCCAAGTCGCCTGTCGTGGAGAAGCCAAAGGAGGCACCACAAGAGGCCCTTTCCAAAGCCGCAATCGAGAAAAGACTGCGGCGTGTGTTCACGCCCCGTGCTGATGGCTCTTTCCTTGTCGGTCCAGACTTTGTGAAACAGTTTGCGAGCAAGGGGGCTGATAGGGATGGCCTGTTTGTGATGTTCGAGAAGTGCAACTATGAACCGGACAAGGGTTATATATGATATGATTTTTGTGAAAGTGAGTTCCATCAAATCAGAAAATCACAAACGAATTTATGATGACTTCCCTTTAGTTTGGTCTTTTGTTTTTTCTTATCCCTATCCCTGTAGGACAAGTTTGTCACCCGCTGCCGAAAGATAACAGAGCAGATAGATGAAACTGAACTCGACATTAGCTACTCGTTCATGACAGAAGATGATATGAGAGAGAAGAACTACACCCAGCCACTTGCCTTTGACCTCTGAGAACATAGCAGGGCCATACTTTTGAAAGCTGAATCCACTTTGTTTGTGAATAACCTCTAAAGGTTCACTTGGTCCCAGAATGGCCCTGCACCTAAGGGAGAAAATCGACGGCATCAAAGCATATTGCCAAGATGATCCTACTCTGCAGAGGCCTGTGTGACCCAGCGCGTTGAACAGGAGCATGGGACTATATAACTGGCACAGGCGCACACACACACACACTCAAACTTCGTACTTTTTCGCAACAAAGCAGATTCAGAACACCACCAGCTTGCATATGAGATTCTGTCAAAATTTGCGCTGTTTGAGTATGTACTGGGGTATGCATCAGATGTTGGCTGTTGCATGAAACCTGCTAAAACGATAGGGGACTCACAAAAAAACGATTTGTGCATGCTTGCGCGTTTTGTAGTGTGGGCATAGTGTTTGCTTAGGCAGGGTTGTTTTTTCACGGTTGGATCCACTTCACCATGAATGGGTGTGCCCATGCGGTGGGTTGACTTTACATGATTTTACATTACTTTAGCCACCTAGGTGGGCTGCTTAAACTCGGCACCGAGTAGCTCAGATTACGGAAACCATGCGTCTTTTCGCTGGCAGTGTAGGAGTGGCCAACTCAACTCCATGCAGTATCTCGTTTTGCTGCCTGGCCTAGCTTTGGTAACGCGGCGAACTAATTATTCACTCAGTCTCGCACGCATGTGACTTGCAAAGATGGAGCTCGCGCAGAACGATACCCAAAGCGATACCCAAACGATACTAGTTTTTTTCCAAAACCGCCCCGGGTGACCGACTGGTCACACAAACGGCCGAACAGTTGGTGGATGTTGGTAGTATGTTGTAGTGATGGGACTAAAGTTTTGTACCCCGGCTGGATAAATTTTGAGGTTAGCAGCTGTGAGTATGCCAAAACTCATGACCTGCTGGTTGAAGAGACCGCCCAAGCAGCGCGAAGGAGGACCAGACAGGCACGGGCAAAAGCACAAGTGCGCCCCAACGCGCGCAACCAAAGATCGCCAAGTATGAGGATCCAAGTGGACGCGCTTCAAAACTTTGCTTAAGCAGAGGTTTAAAAAAAAATATCAAAATATGTAAACACGGGAAACCCTGTAAAACGACAGGGGGCTCGTAAACAATAATTTCGTCCGTGGCTCATATATATATATATTTATTTATATTTATATCCATACATATATTTATCTATATATATATATATTTATATATAGATTTAAATAGATTTATGGGGTGAACAATTACAACCAGATCTGATTTGGAAAGCGTGGTCTTTTTCAGCACCAAACGAGGATGAATCAGCCAGCCAGCCAGGACGTCGAAGTACGGAGGTGGTATCATGTACTGGGTGGAGAACGAGATCACCGGTCATAAAAGGAGCAATGTCATGTCAGTGCCGCTCCAATCTACACCTTGCGCAGCTTGCGCCTAATGCTTTCTTTTCTCCAGGAATATCCGGCGAAACACCCTCCAGAAAATGATGGACTATGAGGAACAGGGCGAGCTGAAAGACCTGGACTTGACCCTCCCAGGGAGGGAAGCTCTAGGCACTAGTGCATAAACACATACATATTGTGTTACAATCTTTGGCAATTTTCTGCGGTAGTCTCACCTTCTTCAGCCTCTATCTACTTGCCTTTTGTCTGAGACATAGCCAGCTGCAGGCAATGCCTTTGGAACAGCGGAGGCTGGCCCGGAACCCAAAAACGATGGGCCAGTGCTGGAAAACTCTGTGACCAAAGCCTTGAAGGCGGCAGGGTTCCCAGAAGTGGAATCAAAGATTGTCAGCTCAACGATTGCCAACAAAGTTATCAGTGGCATCCAGAAGCGCATCTTGAAGGTAGATGAATGTGTCGCCAAGCTTCGAGAGTGCAAGCAAACATCCCTTGTGAACAAGACCCTTTTCTAATCAGCAGCAAAAAATTTCGTGGTTCCTGGGATCAAAAAAAAGATGGGAGTTCTTCTTCATTTGAACCTCATTGACTCATTGACTCTTACACCCTGGGAATTGGTACCTGGCCCTGTTATCCAACCTGGCCCTGTTATCCATTCTCTTGGCGTCCACCTCTCCCTTGACTAAGGATGATCGACAAACTGGTGGCACTGAAGAACTCGCTTGACAAGTGCATGGAGAAGTTGACTGAGCTTTATGGCGACGGTCTCGTCAATGGGTTTTCACCAGAGCAGCTTATCTAAGCATGTTACATGTTAGGATCTGTCATACCTGACAAGTTCAAACTTGTCTCCCTTTTCTCTTTTCACTCTAGGCTTGAGAAAGACATGGGCGATCAAATCGGAGAAGGTCGCAAAGCGTGCAAGACTCAAGACTTTGACCATTTGCCTTTTGACTGATGCAAGAAATTCAGAAACATGCCGACAAGAAAGCAGTATAATTAGGACTATTTTGATTGTATCCCCTGACTGGTTTGCCCGAGGGCAGCCGAATCGTTGCTGATGGAGCCCCGCGTCAGGCTTGGGTCTGAGCTTTCGGATTCGTGGACCAACAGACAGCTTGAGCTACACTAATGGACAGTATCAATCCCCAAACAATTCACAGTAGCTGTGGTCTTGCCAGGACCCTGCTGGCTGACTGTGCCCGTGCTAGCCGAAAGCGCGATTCCCAGCCTCCTGAGCTTCCTGGTGCCAAGAAGCGCCCTCGCAAACCTGAGATGACAGCTGCTGGACAGGCCAAGGCCAAAGGCGCTGCTAAGGCGAAAGCCAAGGCTAAGAGCAATATGGACGTATGGGGTTTGTTTGGAATGGGAAAGCCCGTTCCAATGTGTCCAGCAATACGAAATGCAGCTACTCAATTTCGAGCGCTAGGTTTGATCAAACCGATGATCATGGCAACGCTGGAGAAAATCTTGCGCAGCAAAGTTTGTGCAAGTTTGGATGTTTCTTTCGCACTGGAGTTTGACATGCTCCTTCTTCTGCTTTAGCATTCCTTCATCCATCCCATCTGCGTGCAAATCTTTATTTTAAAACCAGTGATCACTAAGCGCCAGTGGCCAGGTTTTGTACCCAACGAAACGCAAGTTGACCCTGTGCTGGTGGAGCACTATGCTGATGAAATGGGAAGAGGGGTCAGGGCCTAAACGTGTTCATCCCCCTGTTTCCAAGCAGCTTATGCTCCATGAAAAATATTGAGGACATTAGTCGTGGGTTTTCTGAACCATTACCAAGGCAGACATGGTTTGGGACACCAGCTGCCAACACCCTGTCACCAGCACCCATGCCGTCTCTGAGGCGCCTGCCTCTTCAATCGCTCGTTCCATGCAAGCCGTGGGCACGGCCTGCCCCACCTTGGTGGGGCGTAAAGCCAACATGTTGGAGGCTAATGCGACAAGGGATGTCACATCATTGCTGAACAAATCTGGAATGGCAATGAAGATTCCAAGGCATACCCTTGCACCTGGATTCAAAAACACTTCTGTTTCTTTTGGGGATTTGGTAGACAGACCCAAGCCTTATCAGGGATGCTATAGAAGTAGAAGTGCTTAGTTGGATTCTCATTCTCGGCGTTTTTTCCCTTAGGTACACACGACCGAGTCTGGAGCAATTATAGAGTTGCCACTTCTTTTGCCGAGTTCTTGGCTAAAGGTTCTGGTGACTGAGTACCCTCATCTTTTGGGAGGTGGCCAGGGCAAGAACATCCATGAACAACTGAATGCATTTTGGACTTGCTACAGATTTGTCCAGCCGGGACACGAGATTTACAAGAAGGATCCTGCACGACTTGGTTACACCGTACCCCTTTTATTACATGGAGATGAGGGTCGCTACTTGAAAAAAGGAAACTTCATGATCTGCACTATTGAAAGTGCATTAGGCAGCGACCCTGAAAAAATGAAGCGAAAGGTGCCCTGTCAGTGTCATGAGGATCATGTCTTACATCGATATGGGAATCTCGGTGAAGGCTACCCTGGTGATGCTTCATTTGCGGAATCAGTAAGACTCGCGTCCCATCAGATTGTCAATGACTCTGGCAATGAATTCCTGTCAAAGTTTCTAGTCTTTGGCATGTCATCTCTGCTCTACAAGAAAGACAAAGGGCTTCTACACAAAGCGTTCGACATGGTGGCTGCCGATCTCAAAGAATTACATGAGAATGGTATCGACACCGGCTCTCACACTTTTTATTCTGCAACGATTGGAGTGAAGGGAGATTTGAAGTTTCACCATCAACTTGGAAACCTGGAGAGATCATATTACAATGTTGGGACAACAAGAAACAACCCTATATGCTCTCTATGCTTGGCTGGCATGGAGGGAGTAGGGTTTGAAGACCTGTCCGACCATCCTTCGTGGCTGGCTACAGTGTACCAAACAAGACCTTGGCCAGAGGGCCAGGCTCCGTCATTGGCTACCATTCCTTTTCAAGATGACTGCCCTGAGGCAATCTTTCGGTTGGATGCTTTTCACTGCTGGAAATGTGGGTTGGGCCGTGACCTTACTGGGTCAACCCTTGTGCTGCTTTGTCAGCTGGAATATTTCGATTCAGAGGGTGATACTGAGTTCAATTTGCTTGCTCGCATACAACGGGCTCATGGATCGTTTGTGTTGTGGTGCCACGCCTGTGGCAAGTCGCCAGCCTTGCATTCATTTTCAAAGTCGCTGCTGAACTTCGCAAATGAGCGGTCCTTTCCATGGTTTAATGTGAAGGGGTCAGACAATACATTGCTCACTTCCTGGCTTCTGTTTGTCGTCTCGCTGTCAGTGCAATCACATGGACACCGCTACCGCAAGCTTGAGCTTGCTCTGATTGAGACACTGCAATCAGCTACGATTGTGTTTCAAGTCCTTCATTCGCATCCCCTTTGGCTGGAACGCAGGTTTGCGCAGAGGGTGCAACATCATTTGAAAATCCTAGTGCGGGGGTACAAAGTGCTGGCCTTTGAAACCAAGACAATGCAGATTTGTGGGTATGGGATGAAGCCTAAACTGCACGCGTGTGATCACATTGCCAGAGATTTGGACCAGCAACTCAAGAACAATTCCCCTAGAGTTTTGAACCCTATGGCGTTCAGCTGTGAATCAAACGAATCGATGGTCGGACATGTTTCCAGGCTGGCTAGGCGTGTCAGCTCACGCACAGTGAGCATTCGGGTGTTGGAGCGCGTTACTATCCGGGTTAAATCCCTCATCCTGAAAGTAAACAAGCCCAGGCTGAGGTTTGGACGAAGAGGCCAAGGAAAACGCAGCTCACCCAAGACAACATGATCAGAAAAGGCTGCAGCGGTGAAGTGGGCATCAGGTAGCAAACAGAAGTGGACATAAATTTTCCGAAGTGGTTACTTTTTTTTTGGGCATGATTTAGGGTAAGTGGGCAGAAACCCCAGCAAAAAGTTACCAGGTAAGAAATTTGTAACCTTTGATGTTCCAGGTATTCTCAAGCGCTTCATCTCGATATCCTTTGAGCACTATTATCTTATTCACGTTTCTGCTTGTGCTTGAGCTCGCGTCGGCTGTTGCGGAGGGTGTCAAAGCACAAGCTGCTTTCCAAATCACTTATCCAACACTTTTGAAAGCAGCCACAGGCCAATGTGCTTACTTCCACTCAAACTCCTCGCCTGCGCAGTACACGCAGATTGGTCACCCGCTGCCATCACCTGCCAAGCAAACAAAAACACGGAAGAAGACATTATTTGACTGTCACCAGAGTACACTAGTTGATATTGTTCACCTGTGCCCAATTTTCACATTCTCACCAAATTCCAAACATTTCGGTAACTCACAACTGACCTGTCAACAGTCCACGCCTATTCCGGAACAGACTCCTGTCATACAGAAAAAAGAGCAAGTAACATACAGCCATCCACATCTTTGAAACACTGTCTTGCTCCCAAACTGTCTAGACAGGCAGCTCCTTCACAAACAAACCAAACTGCCGCAGAGACATGTTCATAAAAGAGCAAGTAACAAATGCCCATCCACATCTTTGAAGCCCAATCTTTTCTTCCAAACTTGCTAGACAGCTTCTACCACACATCAAACTGCTGAAGAGACATGTTCATGACGACGTTGTGTCTATCAAGCGCTTCTCTACAAGCAGCCTCTCACTACTCAACGTTTTTCTCCAGAGCTGCTTCCAAACAGCTTAGCTCATAGACCCGCACATCCATCAGACAGCCCCGCTCACAAGCAGTTAAGTCCCAAGGATGCTACCCGCAACGTCCAGCTCTCCCAGCCCAAAAGCCGTTAGAGCCCATGCTGCGTGCGAACCGTCCAACCCCAAGCCTGCCACTGTGGCTCCTGCCACTCCTCCTCATAGCTGCTACGGCTGGTGAGAGCATTGGTTTCCCACACATGGTCTCCAACCTCCCAAAACGGAGCTGCAGTGCGAAACACAGCAGCACGCTGCTCCAACTCACCATTCACCACACGGCCTTCATATGCGACGTAGAAGACCGTTTCACCTTCCAGTTGCGGCACAATGAACATCACATCGTTTTCATGTGTAGTGCTCGGTGGCTGGAGGCATACATATATGCGCTGAGCTCCGACAGGACTCAACTGGTAGCGCCAAACATGCCCAGCCCCTTTGGCAAACCGGCTCCGGGTGCCAATGAAAATTGTGTCTGGACGCTCAGACGGCACAACCAAGCCTGTGATAGAAACAGGCTCCGACATGGCTGGTCGAAGAAAAGCAAACTTGAGTCGCTTACAGCAAGAGTTGAGCCAATACGCACTGCTGCATTAATGCCGCTAAAAGTGACTCATTTGGTGAGCATTTCTCACAACATGTCTCCACACACAATCCCATGTCTTGACTGTCGAAACTCAACCACTGCCACATGCCCACAGTAAAGCTCCTGAGCACAAAATCTTCCATCCCAATGCCGCCCATGTACCTGACAAAGCGACAGACGAAATCATTTGTGAACATCCCGCCAATCAAACTGTATTCAGCAGACCAATGTCTTGTGAAATTGAATCGACAAAGAACTTGCAAACCAAATTCTTTGTTTCAGACAAAGTATGTTTCAGCCAAACCAAATTCCACATGACTTCTTAGTGTCCATTCCTTGAACCATATCCGATTCACCTAGGCAACTTCACTATGTCATCCCAACTCGTGACACCAAATGGCCATGATCTCTTTGCCATGGCTCCTTTGGCGTTGCAGCGTTTGTTTTTCACGCACATCAGCAGTCTGGTTGGATCTTCGCACTGGCAGCATGCACCCAGACGACATATCCTGGGCCACAGGTTCACATTTGAAGCCCAAAGGCTGTACCAGCTCAAGGCGTGACCTTCGTCATCCAAACCCAAATGTCATAATTTTCGCTCGCTAATTCCTCAGAGGTCCGATCACAAAAGTGTCTGTCCACATCCATCGTGCGCAAATGCTGCAGCAGTGTCAAGAGCCCTTGTTTCAGGCTATGCACGATCTCACCAACAAACATGACTGACAGCAACTTCTGCCATGCACCTGTTACAGTCTGAAGGCGCGTGGCCTTGTCCATGTCCGATAAGTAACCGACCTCCAAAGCTTTCACCAAGAGCACTGAATCAGAAGCAACCTCATACACATCCAACCCCAAATCTTCATTTTGATGTTGCTTCGCCTGTTGGTGCCTCTTTGCACAGGTCAACTTCCGTGGAAGAACTCCACGCTGTAAGGTGCGCAAGTCAAAGGCAATCTCCTCATACTTCTTCATCATTGTTTCGCTCAAAGTTTCCAGAAGTAACTCCAGTTGACGATGCGAAAGCAGACACTTGCGATACTGCATATCTTTGTTCAAACAATTTTGTTGTGTTTTGATTCTGGTTTCTATCAACCACGACGAATTTTCAGAAGCGTAGAAATTGCCAAGGTCCCTGTGGATCATTCTGCGCTGCTGCGCTGCCAGCTCCATCAAGTTCAGGGACTTGAACTGAACTCGGTCAACTCGACAACGCGAAAATGCTTCAACGGCTTCTGATGCCGCCAGAAGCCGGGCCCTCAAATTTTTCACATTTTCATCAGTCTTCGACAACATCTCAGCATGCACCTGTGTGGCTGCGACCAATGGAGTGCCGGTAATGGCCAACGTAAAAAGATCATTCTGTCGCACACATGCTTCAATACAATCCAGTAGACTCTTAATTGTCTCATCCGAGCGCTCCAGCAGCAACTCTTCACCTGAACGAGATGTTTTCACGGTGCTGACAGAGAGCGTTGCCTCTTCTTCCACACCTCGCTTCTTAATGCCAGTGAAATGAAGCGACTGCTTTGGATCCACCACGCTTGCAGCAGGCACCCGGACAGCCCCGGTCACAACCGGTTGAGTCCCTTGGATCCCTGCCGCAGCTCCAGCAGAAACATTCACACGGTCTTCGCCAGGCGCCAAAGAGCTTGAAGACGTCTGGACAGCTCCAGTCGAAACCGGTTGAGTCCCATGACCTTCCTGCCCCCGCACCGGACATCCAGCCCAATGTGTGCTGTGCCAGCGGACCGTGCAATTCATGCGAACATGCTTGGCTTCTGGCTCAGCACCTTCATGCAAAGCAATTTCCTGCTGCAGCCCAACTTTCTCCCACTCTTGCATTGTAGCAAACATAGGAAGCAACTTCAAATCTTTCCAAGTGGAGCGCGCCGGCACACCATGGCAAAACTCTGCTCGGAAGTCTCCTGCCATCACCAAAGCGTCACCGCCTTCTTGGAACAACATCCTTGTCACTGGACCTTTTTTGGGGCCCAAGGTCAACACACCCCCATGCCCAAAGGAAAAGGACGTGACCGGATCAACATTGCTGTAGGTGGCAGACGCATCTGAATGAGGGCTGATTCCATGATTTTTGTTGTGATCATTCCAATTCCACAACACCTGCCATGACTTGTCAAGCCAAGTGGGACGCAGGTCTCGATTCTGAAAAGCTTCATAGTTCTTCATCAATGTGGCGTCCCATAATTTCTCAAATCTGCTTCCAGCTTGCCACATGGCCGACGAAGTTGGCACATAAAGCTGGTGCGACACAGACAGGGAGCACGCGTCACCTGCGCACTCCAGTAGTACACAGTCCATCCGTCAGAATTCAGCATCTGCTGCGATTTCGTGGGACGAGCATTGTTGTTGCGAACATTTTGTTCCCAACGTTGAATCTCTTCCAGCTGTGGCGCAATGAGATCTCCGATCTCGAAGAAGGGCCTTCCCTCAGCACAAGCGCCTTTGGCGAATAGCAAGAAAGATTTATTCGATCTATGCGGCAATCTCTCTGCATAGTTCTCAAAGGCAACGTCTACACCAAAACAAAAGCTGCGCAAATTTCACAGTGTCATCCCAACTCGTGACACCAAATGGCCATGATCTCTTTGCCATGGCTCTTGAAACACAAGACCTTCCCGGTCAAAACCAGTTCAGTCCCAATGTGTTCAAACTTCCCAAGTGCAAAAAGACAGTGTCCATCTTGCAGTGTCAAGCGGCATCTACATATCTAGATAGTATGTAACCTCTCCAATCTTTCGCAATGAAACATCTCGAAGAGATACACCTACTACATTTATATTCTCAAGCGTTTCATGTCCCTATCCTTTGAGCACTATTATCTGATTCAGGTTTCTGCTTGTGCTTGAACTCTCGTCGGCTGTTGCGCAGGGTGTCAAAGCACAAGCTGCTTTCCAAATCACTTATCCAACACTTTTGAAAGCAGCCACAGGCCAATGTGCTTACTTCCACTCAAACTCCTCGCCTGCGCAGCACTCGCAGCTTGGTCACCCGCTGCCATCACCTCCCAAGCAAACATAACACACAAGAAGACATTACTGATCACACAACCTCCTCCTGCTGAATTCTTCTATGATGATGTCCATCCTGCCTCTGGCCCGCGATCGAGTAGATGAGGGCTCAAATGCTCCAACAAATGTTCCGATGTCACATATCCACCATGACACCATAGCTGTGATACACAACAGAATCCCTATGTGATGTTGACTCTCTCAAGCATCAATCCAGCATGAGATCACTTCAAGTAATTTGTAGTAACTTGCTGTAAGATGTTGCCTGTCTCAAGCGTCTTTGCAAACAGCTCCAAAGGTACAGAAGTGGAAATGTCTCTGCCACCCGCAAAGTAAGAAGTGGCATTGCCGCGATCACACTACCACACACACACACACGACTTTGCAAATAATATATAACATACTTCTCTGACATTCTTTCTAACTTTCTTCTGACATTTTATAGGCCATTCTATCTGGCATACCTTCTGGCATTCTATCTGGCATATCTCATGGCATTTTATCTGGCATATCTTCTGGCATTCTCTTTGTCCCATATCTTCCTACATGAGGTCCGGCAGGGAACACTTGGCATGGATACTCGCAGATGAGGTCCGGCAGGGAACACTGGGCGTGGATGGTCGTGGTTGAGGTCCGGCAGGGAACATTGGGCAGATGGTCGTGCTTGAGGTCCGGCAGGGAACACTGGGCGTGGATGGTCGTGGTTGAGGTCCGGCAGAGAACACTGTGGATCGCGGGTCGCAGTTGGACGAGGACGACGAGGACGACGAGGACGACGAGGAGGACGAGGAGGACGAGGAGGAGAGGAGGAGGAGGACGAGGCAGGAGGAGGAGGAGGAGAAGGCAACTGACATAAACTCTAACAACCATCACCTGGCAGGTGGGGAATAAAACGCATAAACACACATAAAACATGATTCGATCATTCTAGTGTCGTTTAGCATCGTGATGGTTATTTTGCATCTTGTCTCTTGAAACCATGCAAGATGAAGTTCAACTGATCCAAAATAATGTTTTTGTCGCGCCAAGTGCCCGTTTCATCCGTTTCGGAGACCTGTTGGGCCTCCGGGGTCAGAAGCACCCAGAAGCACAGCGCAATTCTGGCTACCCACCAGTGGTGCCCTGCAATGGCAGAGAAACTGAAAGATGTCAGTGAGATTTCGGTCGTTTTCTCTTCACGCAGTCTTGAAAGACAATCGCAGCCGGAGACAATGCGTGCACCAGGTTGGAAAAGCATCAATTGTATTGTATCAAATCTTTATTTTTTTCTATTAAATCATCTGTCTATCTCACAGGTTGAATGCCCAGGATCATCTTCGCTTGAGTTCATGTGTCAATGCAACGTTTGGAACCTTTCGGACTTGGATGTCTTGGGTATGCGATGATCCGGCGATTCAGATTCTTGGTTGGTCCAGACGTCATCCGTTGAGGTTCGGAGAAGCCCAGTGGCCAGTCCTCCAGTTCTGGAGCAACGTCAAGGCCGTGGCGGACCGTGAGAGCGTATAGTGATGATACCCATTGGTACTATTTGGTACTTGTTTTTGCACAGACAGTGAGGCACGTCGCGTCTTTTTGGAATCTTCGGGCCTTTGCCAGGCCCGTTCGCAGCTCACAACTTATGACGTGAAGCCAAACTCCTGAAATTCCCATAGGATGTCTTTTCAGGAAGTGTGTCCACCATAAATAGCTTGATAGTACTTTGATTTTTGTTGGCCCTCTTCAACTCTCTCAATTCACATTGTGACCCTGCATGGCCTGGGACAGAGCATTATAAAGGGGCTAACCGCCGACTCTTTTTTTGGGGGGTTGGCCATGATGCCGTGGTTCCGGATGAACTGAAACCGCCAGAATTCCTTACGTAGGCCAATGCTAGGCAGTCGGCGGACTTTTGATTGTGTAATTGTGGCCCAAATTCTGTGACCGCGCCATGTCTAGATTGTTCAAGCATCGCGATGTTCTCACTCTGAGATTTGTCAAGCAGATGCCTGATAGAATGCTGAGCTTTGCTGTTGGACCTGGTCGCTGCATGACATGTTTCTAACACGGAGAACTCAGCCAAGCTGTATCGAACCTCAGCGTTTGGAGGGGACGATAGCGGAGTTGAAACACTGGACATGTAAGCTGTCAATGGGACTGACCGTGTGGCACATCAGTTCATGACATGATTGCAATGGCACTGTACTGTGTGTCTTGGCATGTCACTCAAGTTGGTAGTTCCAGACGAGTTGAAGACTGAGTTGCTGAGCAGTCGTCGTGTCCAGATGCAGCCGCCACCGAAAGCTGACCTCGAAATCTCGTGTCGGGATCATCCAAGTGGTTTGTCGTGGATTCTTCGAGTGTTCAGATGAGGTCGATTTCTTCCTGGATCATATTCAATGGATTTCAATGGATTTCAATGGTAACTGCAGCCTGATTGAGAAAGTCTCGGAGAATGTGGACGGCCTGGGTGCACTGCTGAACTGGCACAGGTGGCTCAGAGTTCTGTCCTGTGATTTTTCCTGAGAGCGTCTGAGCGCAGGGTTCTTCCAATAGTGGGGGTCTGTTTCTCATCTTCTCATCTTCACACCTTCTCATCTTCACACCTTCTCTCACACCTTCTCATCTTCACATCTGCTCATCTTCACATCTGCTCATCTTCACACCTTCTCATCTTCACACCTTCTCTCACACCTTCTCATCTTCACATCTGCTCATCTTCACATCTGCTCATCTTCACAGCTTCTCATCTTCACACCTTCTCTCACACCTTCTCATCTTCACATCTGCTCATCTTCACATCTGCTCATCTTCACATCTGCTCATCTTCACATCTGCTCCTCTTCACACCTTCCCTCACACCTTCTCATCTTCACACCTTCTCATCTTCACACCTTCTCATCTTCACACCTTCTCTCACACCTTCTCATCTTCACATCTTCTCTCTCTCTCTTTCTCTCACTCTCTCTCCTCTTTTCTCTCTCCTTTCTCTCTCTCCTTTTTCTCTCCCTTTTCTCTCTCTCGCCTTCTTTATCTTTCTCTCTTTAGGCCGAGGGTGGTGCCGGCGGGGAGTCACGAAACGTGAACCCTTTCGCACGAAATGAGGGTCGATCGGCAAAAACTGAGGTAAAAGCGTCTGTGTGTAAAAGCCTCTGTGTGTAAAAGCGTCTGTGTGTCAAAGCGTCTGTGTGTAAAAGCGTCTGTGTGTAAAAGCGTCTGTGTGTAAAAGTCTCTGTGTGTAAAAGCGTCTCTGTGTAAAAGCGTCTGTGTGTAAAAGAGCCTATGTGTAAAAAGCGTCTGTGTGTAAAAGCGTCTGTGTGTAAAAGCGTCTGTGTGTAAAAGCGTCTGTGTGTAAAAGCGTCTGTGTGTAAAAGCTTCTGTGTGTAAAAGCGTCTGTGTGCGTAAAGTCTCTGTGTAAAAGTGTTTGTGTGTAAAAGTGTTTGTGTGCAAAATCGTCTGTGTGTAAAAGCGTCTGTGTGTAAAAGTCTCTGTGTGTAAAAGTCTCTGTGTGCAAAAGCGCCTGTCTGTAAAAAGTTCCGTGTATGAAAAACTTTACAAAAATACGATGCAAACTATTGTCTTGTACTAGTCATATATTGTCTTGATACTACTCTTCTCGACTGCCTATAATACATCTTAATATATTATCTTGTAATATAGCGTCTCCATACTAACAACAGAAGACTCTGCTCCTCTACGCTCTCGGGCCATCCGTCGTCTAGTTTTTGGATTTTGCATATTTTCAACATGGGCTACCACCAAAAAAATCTATGTAAGGGATAATGTATTGGAATGGAATATAGGTCAAAACCTGCAACAGCGAAGGCGACCTTTTAAAACGAAGGCAAACCTCACAACTAAAGTTTGTTGATAGATTTTCACGTGAGCAGCAAACGTCAAGAATGGTGTATCATGGAGTTATTGTTTGGTCTTTACCTGTTTTCCCCTGTCTTCCTTTTGTTTCCTTTCTTGCTTTCATGCCTTTCCTGTGACAGTTTCTGTTGGCTTCCTTTCCGCCTTCGTTTCTTTCTGTTGATCCCGGTTTTTCTCCTGCTGCATTTACATTTTGTCAAGCTTCTGCTTTTCCTCCTGTGATTTCTTTCCGTCTGCAAGTATTCTTCATCATCCTTTTTGCAATTTCATCCGGCGGTTTCGTTTTCCCGTCTTGTTTTGCGTTCTGGAACGAAACCAAAACGAAGGCAAAAGTTACGACAAGCAGCTTGGCATGGACCTGGCCAGGAGCTGGCAAACCCTCGTCCCCATCCTGCTACTACTGCGACAACTACCATTGCCACTGCGGGGCCTACTTGTGCTTATGGTGCAGGCATGTGTCTTACCAGCATCAGCAAGGCACCGGCATCACCACGATTGCTGCTGCTGCTGCTGCAGCTGCTGCTGCTGCTGCTGCTGCTGCGGCTGCTGCTGCTACTGCCATTGCTAATGCCACTACTACTGCTACTCCACTGCTACTGCTACTGCTCCTGCTGCTTGCGCTGCCACAGTTGCTTCTTCTAGCACCTTTGTCGCTTCTACGAGTCACAGAACTACTCCCATCACATCCTGGCACTGTTGTTTACGACTTCTGCCATTGCTGCTGCCACTAGCTCAAAATGATAACTGCGCGATACCGCACATATATTTGTGAAGGTTTGGTCGAAACCCTTGTAAAACGAAGGCCGAAGGCGACCGTTTAAAACGAAGGAAAAATAGATATTCCAATTTGGGGCAATAGAGTTTTGGAGGTAGCTCACATGTGTGCAGATTTCAGTTATAAACATTTATATCATATATCATTTATATTATGCATAATGCCATGCAAAGCTCGTTGGACTTTGGGGCAAGTGATGAACATGTTGTTAGACATGTTTTGAATGGGTAGTTAATCGGTAGCTGGTGTGAAGTGCGGCAGCAAACACCACATTGTTGGGCAATCACGGGCCGTCATTTTTGCATTTGTGGTCGGGGGGTTCAAGCAATTCTTAGCAACCCTCGCGACTCTTCACAGACCAGACAAAAAACTACATCTCAGATGTTCTTTCAATCTTTCTTTCCGCGCCGGACTCTTGGATCCATTCGGTTTCAGTTTATGACTATATTAACACCGTATCTCTTTGTGTATCCGTGCTTGCAGTCGTATGTTTTTGCGTTCAATCCTGGGGGATTTTGGCAAATTGGCACGTTAATCACGTTTTCAATCATTCTGCATGCATCCTGTCGTCGTCTCTGTCTCGAGTGTGGAAAGTCCTTTCCGCGCACTCCGCAAACAATTTGTCCGCTATTCCAAATTCCGATTTGCATATTCACTGAACCATTGGAATTTCTCTGCCCCAGAGCGTTGTCCGATGTCGGCCGCTTGAGGCCAACAGCAGTACTACGTAGCGGGTAGCAGCCTGCAGAGCAGCAGTTAGGTATTGGGCTTCGCCCACAGGTGCTGATATGTTCTCCCTGACACCACTGAAGCTGTGCACAAAGAGATGCTGCAAATTTCAGACAACGGTGGCCTTGCCTACTACCGCGCCTGGTTTTGAATTTGACTCTGCAAACTGAAAGAGCTAAAAGACTTGTAGAAAACATGAATGGATTTGATGTTCAAAGTATCAGTCATTACAGGTCAGATTTCTTTGTTACAATGATAACTGTGGGACTCGGGTTGAAAACAATCAGGAATTTGAATTACAGGTGAGAAAATCAAGATGACATAAGACTTTGACTTTGAATTAAACCTGATGGAATCCATAACCATCCATAGCCATTCTTCGTGGGACTCCCATTCTCCCCAGGCCCATGGATGTGGCAGAGACTTCCGGTGACGGTATCGCAGACGTGGCGGAGACCTTCCTACAAGATGCGCATCGGAATCCAATTGGTTCAACCAGATGAGAAACTTAGGGAATCCATCACGAATGGCGAGTGATCCCTTGATCCATTGAAGATTGGAAAATTATTCATGATTCATGTTGAATCCATGAGGATGCGTGAGGGAAGCATATTGCTTGGCCTGGACACAGTTCACAATTTCAGTGCATGTTCGAACTCAGAATCTGACGAGTTCAATCCAGTCTGCAGTGCAGCACTTTGGATTCCAGTATTTTCTAGCCAACCTAGGTTGTCAAAAGGATTCCATGAAAGATTGCATGTTTTGGAAATTATAAAATCGCTGTTGAGAGAGTTGTCCCACCTGCAGAACAATGCCCAGTGGGCCGCGTTGCAAGACATGGATCAGACAGCTGTGCAGCATTTTCAGTTCTCAATAGACCAGATGCATCCGGATGCTATGTTTGAAAACACAACAGTCTTGAACGGCTCTATGCCATCCCGGATAGCATCGAAAATGGGCCATGTGCGTCTGCGGTATTTGAGAAACGCCCGAATAGCCGTTTGTGTTTTCCACTTTCTGCGCCGGGCATCTTGAGTTCACGCTGGTGGTGGTTTCCTCTTGGGAATGTCAAATGTGTGTGCTTTGATGTAACATGACAGGGTCAAGCGCAATGGAAATCCGAAGCTGCCAAGTTCAAGGGCAGGTGGGATGGGAACTTTGGCATGTGCATTTGTTGCAGAATGTTAACTTTCACAAAAAAGCTGGCTTAAATCAACATGAACATCCTGGAAGAATTGTAGACTGTGAGAGAAATTGTTTTGAACAAACTGGCAAGGTTTAGGTCAGTTCATGATTGTGATGTTGTGCGTTCTTGCCGTGCATGGGCCTTTTGATTTGTGAGTTTGAGCTGGTCTTTGTGAACTGGCATTTTTCATACACCAAAGCCGGCAAGCTTGAGATTTCTGGAGTCGTGCGAGACAGGAGATCAAAATGATATGTTCTATACTTGAGATGATATCTCCATCCCACTGGTTGCCTGCAAGCATCTCCGAGATAACGTCTCTGGATTAGATTCTTGGATTTTTTTTGGATTGTTATATTGGCAATTCAAATTTTGAGGTTAGCAGCTGTGAGTGGCCAAAGCATGCCAAAACCCATTTTCTTTCCAAAAGACCTGCTGGTTGAAGAGACCGCCCAAGCAGCGCGAAGGAGGACCAGACAAGCACGGGCAAAAGCACAAGTGCGCTCCAACGCGCGCAAACAAAGATCGCCAGGGATGAGGATCCAAGTGGACGCTCTTCAAAACTATGCTTAAACAGAGGTAAAAACATGTAAAAACAGGAAAGCCTGTAAAACGATAGGGGGCTCACTAACTTGATGACGCACTTGACGTAAACAATAAATTTCGACCGTGGCTCATATGGCAATTCAGATTTTGCTTTGCCCCAGATGAAGGTTTTTTGATGCCTCCACCATCCTCCACCAATTCGTGCTGGTGGAGCACCTCACAGGGTGCCTGGGTCATTACTTATGCCTTATGTGTGGAAGGTTTGGAGGAACACATGTATTCAAGGCCTGCAAAATTATTGTGACCATGTTTGACTCCCTTCAGCTCCATCCATCACAATGTGACTGCAGGAGCTGCCCGGAGATGTGCACAGGCATGCACTGGTCTGCTGCGCAGGCTGAACGCGAGGGGCCTTATTGATCGTCACCTGTTGCATCCGGTCACTATTCACAACCGCTTGAACCAGAGAAGAGACGAGGAACAGCTTGAGGGATGAACTTGATCACAGACGTAGCTGCAGCTGAGACTTGAATCGATTCGCATTATCCAGGTGTGCCTGCAGGATCTGACTGGATCAGTTTGACGGTGCTTTAGTGATCTCAATGTTGCCACGGATACATTTCAAACAGCGCCTAGCAAATGTTGCCACCCGATTTGCATCGACTTGCTCACTTCGCACCAGCCGAAAAACACGTTTCCAAAAGTTGCTCCCGTTATAGATTGTGTTGTTTCGAAAAGCTTGGGACCTTCGGGACATTTCCCCCACCTTGGACGGAAGCGCCATGGCGTTGCCACGGCTGCTGGCATTGCTGATGGCGAGCTCCTGCCACTGCCTGGAGATGTGCTGCCGAGCCTTCCAGAAGGGCGCCGAGCTCCGTGAAGCACTCCGTCGCTGGCGACGGCCGTCCGTCGCTTGGCAGGGTGGATGCAAGCTGGATTCCACGCTGACGACATTCATGAACGTTACCTATATACATGTTCTAGAATCATCTTAGTTCCACCGTCATTGTCTGAATTGGAGGTCATTGTCTGAACTTAAGGCCTCCCCCTTATGGCCCGCAGCACTGACACTCGAATTGAAAGTTTTCATGCATTTGACACTTGGAAGGGTTGATGTGGATATTATGGCTCCAATTTCTTAGATGTTATTCCCCATACGAGACATCTCTTGAAGTTCAGATGGCCACGTTTGTGGATGTGGGCTCAAAAGTGAGTATCGTGAGTGGACGATTGTGGCTTGTGCGTTTGACCTTTTGATTACCAGGCGACCAGTCCCTCTCAATCCTTTTCCCTTTGCTTTCCAAACAGAAGATGTTCAGCATCCCAGACTGGTAGCTGCTCAAGCTGAGGAAAGGCCTAAACTGATCTCCATCTCAGGAGCCATAGAGCACTGGGACGTGTCGATGGTAACTGACATGTCCGAGTTGTTTGCTTACACCAATTTCAACGAATTCGTAGGGTCCTGGAACACCTCTTCAGTGACAGACATGCAGTACATGTTCTACAAAGTCCGGTATTTCAACCAGCCGATCGGCTCCTGGGACACTTCGGCAGTGACCAACATGAAGGGCATGTTCAGGTCTGCCATGAAATTCAACCAGCCGATCGGGTCCTGGAACACATCGGCGGTGACAGACATGAAGGGCATGTTCAGGTCTGCCATGAATTTCAACCAGCCGGTCGGGTCCTGGAACACATCGGCGGTGACAGACATGCATCCTGAGTCTCGAAAAAGAGTAAATTTACTAATTTGAAGGATTTACTCTTTCGAAGCAATTTATTGTAATTTTTTGGGAAAATTGTTAGTAAAGTAAATTTATTTACATGCAATGTAAATTGAGTATTTTGAGTTTTCTTGTGACGATATTCTTGTGATATTTTTAAGCAAGTAGTTTTTTGTGCATACGGATTTTACCATATTGAGTGGGAACAGTGTTTTTTTTCTGAGGTTCGGATACTTTATTGTTTGGAACTTGTGAAGGGTCTCCATATATGTATAGTATTTTCTCATTGTTTGGCAAAGCAGAAACGGATATTTATGGCGCAAGTAAGACGGAGAGATGTGGCTCTGGTAATCCTTTATGTATGTTCATTCTTAATAAAAAACATAAATTGAATTAGTATAAGACATACACACACATATATATATATATATAGAGATACATTGAAACAAATATATATATATATATATACTATATATTTAAAGGAAAAACAATTACTTTACTTCGAGTTATCCCCACCATGACATCTATACGTTTTGTTAGTGGCAAATCTTCTGGCATATTCTATCTGACATATCTTCTGGCATTTTATCTGGCATATCTTCTGGCATTCTATCTGGCATATCTTCTGGTGCACTCTATCTGGCATATCTTCTGGCATATCTTCTGACATTCTATGTGGCATTCTATCTGGCAAATCTTCTGGCGTTCTTTCTGGGCAAACATTCTGGCACTTTATCTGGCATACCTTCTGGCATTCTATCTGACATTCTATCGGGCATACCTTCTGGCATTCTATCTGGCATATCTTCTGGCATTCTATCTGGCAAACATTCTGGCACTTTATCTGGCATTCTTTCTGACATTCTATCTGGCGTTCTATTTGGCATATCTTCTGGCATTTAATCTGGCCGTTGAGGTCCAGCGGTGCTCACTGAGCTCGGATGGTCCCAGGTTGGGGTCCAGCGGTGCTCACTGAGCTCGGAGGGTCCCAGGTTGAGGTCCAGCGGTGCTCACTGAGCTCGGAGGGTCCCAGGTTGAGGTCCAGCGGTGCTCACTGAGCCCGGAAGGTCCCAGGTTGAGGTCCAGCGGTGCCCAGTGCGCTCAGACCCTTGCAGTTGAGGTCCAGCAGTGCCCACTGCGTGCGGAAGTTGGCGAAGTGGACCTGGAAGTGGATGCAGAGGTGGTGGAGGAGAAGGAGGAGAAGGAGGAGAAGGAGAAGGAGAAGAAGGAGAACAACTCTAATAAAATCTAACAACCCTCACCTGGCAGGTGGGGAATGAACCATTTTTGATGCATATCCTTGTCATTTTATCTTACAAAAATATTATAAAAATGAAAAAATGCCTTTTGAATGCAAAAAGGCTCATCATAAATTGTAAGAAATTCTACATAAATTTAAGATTTCTACAAGTAAGTTTCTATATTGCCTGTGTATTTTGCATTGAGTTTTTTTTTAATGTATCAATATTTCAGAAGTAGTTTATATGCAGTTTATATGCTGTTTATATGCCGTTTTTAAAACTGCATAAAAACTACGTGTAGTTTTGGGCAAACTACACGTAGTTTTTATGCAGTTTAAAAAACGGCATATAAACAGCATATAAACTGCATATAAACTACTTATAGAGTGCATAGATTTTTCCCCACCTGCCAGGTGAGGGTTGTTAGATTTTATCAGAGTTGTTCTCCTTTTTCTCCTCCTCCTTCTCCTCCACCACGCCTGCATCCACTTCCAGGTCCACTTCGCCAGCTTCCGCACGCAGTGGGCACTGCTGGACCTCAACTGCAAGGGTCTGAGCGCACTGGGCACCGCTGGACCTCAACCTGGGACCGTCCGAGCTCAGTGAGCACCGCTGGACCTCAACCTGGGACCCTCCGAGCTCAGTGCGCACCGCTGGACCTCAACCTGGGACCCTCCGAGCTCAGTGAGCACCGCTGGACCTCAACGGCCAGATAGAATGCCAGAAGATCTGCCAGATAGAACGCCAGATAGAATGTCAGAAAGAATGCCAGAAGATATGCCAGATAAAGTGATAAAGTGCCAGAATGTTTGCCAGATAGTATGCCAGAAGATATGCCAGATAGAATGCCAGAAGGTATGCCAGATAGAATGTCAGATAGAATGCAAGAAGGTATGCCAGATAAAGTGCCAGAATGTTAGCCAGATAGAACGCCAGAAGATTTGCCAGATAGAATGTCAGAAGATATGCCAGAAGATATGCCAGATAGAGTGCCAGAAGATATGCCAGAACATATGCCAGAAGATATGCCAGGTAGAATGCCAGAAGATATGCCAGATAGAATGCCAGAAGATGCGAAAGGGAACTAAGTAACATTCACATGGGTTACAGTGTATCATATACCCATATATGCATGGCACTTACCGCCAACTCCATGTTGGCTCAAGCGCCCGCAAAAGGTGAAAAAGGAAATCGCTATGCTTGCTGCTCCGCCGAGTTGAAACGCTGGAAACAGACCGAAGAGACTCAAAACCCAATACGAAAGATCCGGAACAGGGATAATTCTGTTCGCAGGTTATCAGCCGTAAGGGCTCTTAGCCTCCACCGGAGGCAGAGTACCTGCGTGCTGTAGCCAGCGCCAAGTGCAAACGATCGTGAACGCCGATCAGCACTATCATCGCAAAGATGCAAGGCGACAGTGGCGAGACGCAGTTTACCTTTGACGGTAATGCCGCAGCTCCTGCTGAAGGTACTTCGAGATCTTCACCAGGGACAGCTGACAGTGGGGACAAATAGACAAGGACGACAAAGTCTGGGTGGCAGAAGATGAATCCTAGACCGAGGAGAGCAACAACTACAAGTACTCCAAGATCGGCACGAGACGTAGAACGGAGTGGAAACGTCCGACGAAGCCGTCGATCACCAAGAAGGACACCTACCGGACACAGGACCCCGAGGGCAGTCGAGGACCGAATGGGTAGGGAGTCAAGTGATATTAGTGCCAAAAGAAGATCAACAGAAGCTCGTGGTAGCAGTGAACCTATAGCCATGATTGAAGAGCTTAGATCACAATGTCAAAGTCTGAGGGAGAAACTGACACAATCAGAAATGTACGCAGCTTCAAGGGATCAAACAAGTAGGGACATTGAGACCAAGTTCACCGAATATCTTCGCGGACACAATCAGCAGGTATTCAATGAGATTGACATCCTCAACAGACAATTGATGTATTCTACCAATGAGATAACTGAATACCATGCTGAGTTAATGTTAGCATCCAAGGAAGATGAAGGTGCAACACTTCGCATTGAAGAGTTGGAACGTCGGGGGGCACTAGCCGAACATGGTGCCAGACGCATTCACCAACGTGGTCTCGAAATCCAGGAAGAGTACAAGGATGAAGTACACCATCTTCAAGGACTCCTTGGGAACACCGAATCACGTTTACAGCAGATGCAACATGATAGCAACCTTGCTAGGAATTCAGCTGAAACATTGTTCCAAGAAGGGAGTGAAATGCAAAGAAACCTTGAGAATTCCATAGTGGAGTATCGTAATCGATCTGAAATGGCGAACTTCTCGCACACTCATTTGGAGATGGCCAGTCAAAGACAAGCAATCACGGTCAATGAGCTCGGTGATGAGAACCGTTTATTGAGTGAGGCACTTGTTCATTCTCGTAAGCAGGCTGAACTATATGAAAGCAACATGGAGCAGATCACTAGAGAGTATCGTAAGAAGATAAATGAAGCCAACCAGGCAAAGTTGGAGAGTGATTTACGACACAAAACTACAGAGCATGATACCATGAAGCGGTTTGCAGCTTACAGGAATACTGAGGCAGAGGCAATCACTCAATTAAGGTTCGAATCAAGTGTGAGCACCAACGCTCGTGACAAGATGGAGCACTATGAGATGCTTTATGACAACGAGCGCGCTTTGACCAATGAGCTCAAGGCCGAGATCGAGGACCGAAACGTGAAACTGAAACGTTCACTTCAGGGGAATCAAGTGGCCACCGGCCACGGTTCTAATCTGCTTGCAATCCAACACTTTGAAACAGAAGCCAAGGTTGCGGAGGTTAGAGCTCAAGATCTTTCTGAAGAGATGAATGAATGTATGTACGTCAATCTCAGGTTGAAGGACGAATTGGCTGATGCTTCGAAGCAGGGGTCATCGACCCTTCTCGGATCTGAAGTCGCCGTTCTCAGGACTGAACTTGAGACAGAACGAAAGCTCAAATTAGCCACAGGTGCACAGCAATATGAAAGATCATGTGAATACCTGGGTGAGTTGAGGGAAAGAGATGAGAAGTTGATGATGAAAGAAACAGAAATATCGAGGTTGAGAGAGCCTGATGGATGCGGAATTGTCCATTAAGAATCAAGAGAGTCTCAACTCGCTTCCTTTCTCTGCAGGTATTGCCCACAACGGTTTATCTCCGTACATGATCATTGGCAAGTTGGAGAGTGACATCGAAGCAGCAAATGATGAGTCCAACATTTTGCGTGCGTGGATTCGACAATTGGACGACGAGCTCAACAAGGAATCCGCTGTCGCACAACCGAGCTATCAACAACCTGCACATCCCGAAAACCAAAGAGTTTCCGAACTCTTGCGTGAAGTCAACAAGAGGATTGCAGATGGGAGAGGAGTGACTGTAGCTCCAGGAGCAGGTATCCCTGACTACAAG